CGGGGAGGTGGAGCGCGCTTGCCGCCGGGACTTCCAGAGGCCGGAGACGGTGCAGGGTTCACCTGCCAGCCTGGAGAGCTCGCCGTCCGCCCGCCGGGCCATGGCGCGTTTGTACCGGCCGAGTGCGTCGGAGCGAACCGGGCTGAGCAGCCACGTGTTGGTGATGAGGACGAGAAAGACGGCCAGTTGTCTCATCGAAAACATTTTCTCAGAGAGGGAAGGTATTTAGTAAGGTTTTGTGGATCTTCCCGCTTCCAGGTCAGAGACAGGAGGTGTCACACCAGATTGGGGTTATTAGATTTGTTTGCGCACATTTACCCAGCAATAACACCACCGATGTTGTTGGCTGCTTTATCTTGTGAGGGGCATTCATGTATTTTGTTTCAGCAATTAGAAGAGTGAATGCAGACATACACGATCAGTGCATTCCGAAGAGGATCAAACCAACAAAGAGGATACAACATTCCAAGTGTCTCACGTGGAACTTAGTGCATATTCAGGCTCTTGGTATATATTTTAGTTTGACATTGTTTAACAAAATCACAGAATTCAATTTCAAATCCTTTCTGTTCGTGTCTCAAAATATCAGCAGCATCTGGCACGTTGTGCTTGTTTGCAGGTATCAGAGAAAACGTGCAACTAAAATCCACCGACAGAATAGAATGTCATTATTAAGCCATTGCAGTTCCCCCTAAACACAATACAAAATCATCAGAGGAATTCACTCCATGCGGACTTTGCGTAAAGCCCCTCGGTTCTTTTTACCTGACCCACAGCGGCATCTTTCTATAGTGCGTCCAGCTATATATATATATATATGCATGTATATTAAGCAAACTATTAAAAGTCACTGCAGTGCAGCGCAAGGTGCCACGCGTCCTATTCGTTGAGCCGACAACAGGAGCTTTATATCTGAGAGAGGACCCCTAAGAAGTTAAAGTCCGTTCAATAAAAAATAAAAAAAACGAAAATCCCGGTTCCTGCGTCCGCTGCCCGTCAGCTCCCTTCTTTGGTTTTTCTTTATTTTTGTTAGTGTGCGTCCGTGTGTGCGCGCCTCACAAGAGTGACTTGCTCTCCTCTGCACCGGTCCATGCAGGAGTAGTGATATCCTCCTCCATCTCTCTCTCTCTCTCTCTCTCTCTCTCTCTCTCTCTCTCTCTCTCTCTCTCTCATTCTCTGTAGTCCAAATGTATTTCTTATTTATCAGGGAGCCCCTGCCCCTGCACTGACATCACCGGTAGGGGAAGTGTGGTGTAGCTGGTGAGGGGGGAGTCGGTGTTGGACGTCCCTCTCTTTGCCTCACAGTTGTGTTTTACAAGGGAAACCCTCTCTCTCCTCTGCGTCTCCACGATGCGGAGGGGGACTATTCCCCCCTCAAGGAACGCACTGGTGGAATGTAATCTACATTTAGTCATATGCTTTTTTATATTCCCATTTCATTGTCCTCGATGCATGACACAATTAATTCCACCTACACTTTTACAAAATACTTATTGATTAATATATTGATATACTTTTACTTAATCAAAGCGTTCTCTTTTACTTTTAATGGAGTATTGTCATGATGCTGTGGAGCCTTAAACATTGGCAAACATGTTGCAAAGCAGAATTGCATATTATATTGTGAGTTATGAGTATCAAAAGTACAAGTATATCTTGCAAGCAGGTTGCTGTTTTTAAGGCATAACTATCAGATGTAAGAACGGTCCCTGAAGTTACTGCCCCCCCCCCCACACCCCCTTCCAATTGTCCACGTCTTCTCAATGGGAGGCCCCAAGCGTCAACCGGGTAACAGATGAACATATGTGAAGGTGGCTGAGATGGGGGGCTGAGGACACTTAATTGTGTCAGATCTCTCCCTTGGTGCTATTTTCTTTATTCCCCACACACAAACACACACACACACGCAAACACACACCCACACCCACACACTCCTTAAGGGATGGAGGTGAGGTTTAAGTGCGGTCCTTCCCCCTTTCTCAACTGTGTCTCTCTCTTCCTCTCACTGCCTGCCCTCCTCTCCCCCATCTAACCCATCTCGCCCCCTCATGCTTCGGCTCTCCTCAGTGGGACGACCTGGACGGGAGCCACATCTCTCGTTGTTTTGTTTCATGCCCGTTTTTTCTTATCATTTGAAAACTGCTAGCTGCTCAGCGCGGAAGTCTTTTGCTTGGGAAGAACCACAAAGGCCTAAAACAAATCTATAAATGTAAGAGATACACTTTTATCATTTCACAGTCTGATGCTCAGGGTCCACTTCCATTTGTGTTCCAGAGCTTTCTAAGGTAGTATTATTAGTATTATACATTTTTCTTTTCCATTCAGAAATTATGGTCACTTATTCTCACATGGTACAGATTTCTATCTAATACTATACAAAATATACTTGAGTTTTAGTCCGTGCTTGCGACCAGGTGACTCTGCAGGGCCCGATGTAAGCTCATCCAACTGCTGAGAAGCTTTTAGGTAACTTATGCCACGCCCCTCCAAACTCACAAGACAGGTGTACACCACGGTTCTGCTAATGACATGCAGAGAAGTTAATTATTGTATTTAGTCACAATCCACACTCTGGGTGCGTGTGTGTGGGGGGGGCTATGATCGTCTGTCGCCGTTCCACACCTTAAACTGTAAACGCGGCCCCCTTCTTCTCCCCATCACATTTTTTGTCAGGCTCAATTTGCAAACAGGGCCCTGGTTCTGAGGCAGGAGATGGAGATAGAGAGGAGGAGGGGTGCTGGCCGTTATGGCAGGGGCCCCCCGAAGGGGTAAGAAAATGGTTCCTAAAGAGTGGGAGGCAGGAATTCCACAATCCCAGCCTGCCTGACTGAGGGATCTGCCTGCTAAACATTCAGCTTGTTCTGCTGGCCAAGTGCCCTTTGAAATCCAGCTGCAACTGTGTTGGAGAAAAAGAAACAAGAGAAACAGGTGGGGTGGGGTTTGGAGAAGTAACTTAAAAAAAAAAGACAAGAAAAAAAGGGAAGGGGAAGATGAAGACGAAAAGGAAAAGAGCGATTGTGTGTGTCTGTGTGTGTGTGAGAGAGAGAGAGAATCTGAATGAGTGTGCTCCACCGAGGGCCTCACCCCCCGCGGGAAGGAACCTCCACAGATTATCCTTCATCTGGGTTTGTCGTTTTCGACCCCGTCGACCCCGAAGGCCCCGTCCTCTGTAGTCCCCCCACCTTTCTCTCTCCCCCTCTCTCTCTCTTTCACACACACTTTTTCCACCACTCACTCACTCATTCCTCCACACGTCCTCATTAAAAGAGTGTCACCCACTCTTATACACGCAAGCAACCTGGTGACCCCATGCAAAAGAGAGAGGACCCCAATGGGAGAAAGTTCCGGCTGATAAGCGGGACAAATGAGGAGGGGAAGAAAGGAGAAAAAACAGGAGAAAGAAAAATGACAAGGTTTTCACCACCGCTGGTGGAAAGTGGAGAAGGAGAAGGGCTGCAGGCAGACGAGTGCAACACGGTGTATATGTTTAGTACTGCAGGCGTTCTATAGCTGAAAACTGATGTTTGTGTTTTTCATTCACACCGTTTATCTACTTTGAAAAGTATAACTTTAAATCTGTTTCATTTATTTTATACCTTACTCATCCATCATCTCTCTAAAACCCAAAGGTCTTATTCGAAGACGTAGTGAAAAAAAGACAGCTTTAATCTGTATATGTTTCATAATTTGATATGTTTCATGTATTTCCTTTAATTAGACTGGACATTGAATGAATATTCCTGCTATTAGCACGTTTTGTTTCACATGTGTGACCCGTACATGCAGACTAAGACACCCTGTACAGCACTTGGTGGTCCCAACTGACACATGTAGGGCTACACTTTCTTCCGCAAACAAAAACATGGGAAAATCCATATTTGCGCTGAGGATCCCTTGTTTGTTCACGTGGTGGAGAAGGATCGGAAAAGCAAGTAGCGGGCTCAAGTGTGACCGTGAATACGTTAATGCTCCACAGGTTTTATTTGCAAAGCTGCAGGTGGATGCTTGAATTGGCTCCCCTGCCCTTTATTTTTTTTGGGGAGGGGGTCTCCCTGTAAGAAAAAAAAGAACGTGGACACTGTGTCTCTGTGGTTTACGGGAATCATTATAATATTTCAAGCACATTATAAAAATGATTTGTCTACTGAGATAGGCCTATATGCTTAGAATCTTTTTTCAAAAGAAATATTAAAGGGGTTTTTCATTTTCAGTCCCTTTATATGTTATTTAATGATTCAGTTATAATATTGCCATATTGGCTTTGTAAAGTGGCATTACAGTATTTCTAATAAACCGCTGTGAAGCTACCGTTGAGTATAAACAATAGAATGCACGAGAAAGCCTTTAAAAAAAAAATTCAACATTTTAATCAGACTGCAGTGCCACTTATTACAATTTTACCCTTTAAACAGATCATTTCAGTGTAATGAGAGAGATGTATTTCACATGCACGTGGCCAAATGAAAATCAATCGAACATGGACCTCGCTTTGGTTGTAGTCTCAAAGTATTACTTAATGTTATTGTCATTGCGATTCGATATACATACGAATCACATAATAACAGCCACAAACTTGTTGCGCGTGGTGCGTATTTCCATTTCCGCAGTTGCACTCCTGCTCGCTAGGGGGAAGTAGCGCAAGAGCGGGGGCGCACTGACACCTGGGTAATCGAGGACACTCGGGAGATTCCTGTCCGTGGCTACCATAGCTAGCCGGCTGCTAATCTCTTGGACAACGCAGTTGTGGTTATTTCATTGGCTGTTTCAATGTCCGCGTCTGTTGTCCTTCGCACCTCGGGGACTTCCTAATGCGTGACAAAAGCGAGGCGGGCACGTTTAAATACGCTGGATGTTCGGTCACTGTTTCTCACAGGATGCTAGCACATAAGCCAGCCAACTAGCTAGCAGACCTGCTAATACAGCCAAATAGCAGCACTCTCCGGATGCTTTGAGCAGCGAAAAAGACAGCGGATTTTGGCGAGTGTTCGAGTCGGCCCCGCATGATGTCAAACAACCGGCCACAGCAAAGCGCCGGGGGGGCGAGTCCGGTGCCCAGCACGAGTAATGTCAGCGGCAGCAGCAGCGCTGGAGGCACCGGGAGCACAAACGGTGGCGGTGGGACCAACGGTAGCAACGGTAACAACTCTGCAAATGTTGTGCCCTCGCGGACCCCGACAGGGAGCGGCGAGGGGGCCCTGGCTGTGCCGACGTTGGCCGCCGTGCCGGCGTCGCGGGGCGGCTTCGCGTCTCTCAGCCGACCCACGGCGTCCTCGGGCAGCAGAAAGAAATCCCTCCACCAAGCGCCCCTTTACAACGGCCTCCTGAACTCCTACGAGGATAAAAGCAACGACTTTGTCTGGTTAGTTTTCTCCGCAGTGAAGAAAAAGTGATATCTGCACACTGTGGCAGAAGGCTTCCGAAGCTTACTGCAAGCTTACTGCACTTCACATGTTTTGTGTGTGTGTGTGTGTGTGTGTGTGTGTGCGTGTGCGTGTACTTTTCCAGTCCCATTTGCTTCGAAATGATAGAAGAGGCCCACATGACGAAGTGTGGACACAGTTTTTGGTAAGTGTTCGGCTGGGCCGGCGGGACAGCTGCTTCAAGGCACAGGGTTTGGAGGTTGTTGGACATTAATGTCCCACATTGTGTGGAAACTCTTGTTGTGTGAAGACCGTGAGCTCATCACAAGTACCAATAGAGGACTCTGTTTATCAGTCAGACTTTTCCAAAGACAATAACCAATGTGAGTGATGCCTACCGCTCCTTCCCCCCAGTTGTCCACTAGTTGATCCAAGTGGACAAGTAACCCCTAAACAAACATTCTACCCTATAAAAAAAAGTAAACAAACAAAAAACAAAGGTATCGTTTACCCAGTTGACTAAATAAAAAAATCGAATCCAGTCTTTGCATTACAGGGAAAAGTTACAAAATTGTCCTGGCACATATTTCTGCAGACTGCCATCGTCGAACGTGAGTTTAATCAAAAATAGTGCAAGAAAAGGATAAAAACGAAAAGGATAAAAACGACTCAAAACGTGTTCAGAGACATGGTGAGAATAAGGAAGTCCACCTTTTAGCAGAGTGAGGTACGGCTTAACTTAAGCACTGATAAGTGCCGCTGTAATACTGTAACATTGCGCTCATGTTAGTGAATTGATTCAACCTCTCCACAGTTTTCAGTTGTCTCTCCCGTCCGCAGTTTCAAGTGTATCCGCCAGAGTCTGGAGGACAGCAACCGATGTCCCAAGTGTAACTACATTGTCGACAACGTGGATCAGCTCTACCCCAACTTTCTCGGTGAGTGTTTAGCATCAGCGGGTCGAAAGCCCTTTTCTCCTTTCATGCGATATAGAAACACACACGTTTGGGAGTGAACACGCGCTTCACGAATGCCCTTACTGTTACAGCAGACTAAAGTCATTGCATATTTATAGTTTTGTGTCTGTGAGAAATATTAGTTCTAATACAAGTTGTGGATTGTTCCTGACTCTGACAACTGAACCAACTCACCCAAAGGACCACAGCTTTCCTGTTAACGGTGTGTTTCTTTCATATACTTACGTGGCGTTTCCAACTTTCTCACCCAGTAAATGAACTGATCCTCAAACAGAAGCAACGGTCGGAGGAGAAAAGGCTCAAACTGGATCATCCTGTAAGCACACAAGCTCACAGCAACTGCTCTGTATCTTCCTGCTTACAAGTTTTCACTCTGACAATCTGTCAATATACGTTTTATTATGAAGATTCTGTTGTTTGTAGCCGACCGGTTCCTCTGACCCCACAGAATGGGTCGAGGTGGCAGGTGTTCCAGGACGTGTTGAGTCCCGACCAGGAGAACTTGGACCTGGCTAATGTCAATCTGATGCTGGAGCTCCTGGTCCAGAAGAAGAAGCAGCTGGAGGCGGTAAGTAAGGGTCTCCTGGTGGTCAGATGGCTGCTTGGATTCACGTATGGCTGCACAATACTTAAGCAGATATTAACTTTAACCTCTTATTCAATTTTAAAAGGAGGACTATACAAATGCTAGATATATTCGACGTATTTTTGCCATTGAATAGAGAGTAATCTACTTGGTCTACCTCCGCCTGCAGCGCTGGGTAGAATCATCATAGAACTGAATCCAAACTATCCCTTTTTTTGAAGACGTTGCGCAATAACACAAACTAAGAAAATGTCCTGCATTAATTCCCAAAGCCCAAGATGATGTTGGTCAATGTCTTTATGTCCAAGAAAAGATATAAGACTCAGTTTACTGTGATTCATATTTAAAAAGCTGGAACATCACTTTTTCTTTCTTACAAAATGAATCGAATGAGTTGGTTATCAAAGTAGTTGTTTATTCAATTAAAAAGCTGAGAGCTTATTGATATATTCTTGTAGCTTTACTTAATACCAAATGTGCTACAGGCCTAATGAAATTAATTAGAGCTTTTGCAGTACCTGGACCAGACAGGGCAAAGGTTGGGTTCGGGAACAAAAGAAATCCATTTCTCATTTGGAAAATATGCACAGTTCTCTCTTACGCATGTTGATAATTGTAAATAACTTTGACACATCACCACTGATCTTTTAAGGGCTCAATATATGCACTGCTAACACGACTGACATGCTGCGATGGCCAAACATTAATAAAATCACACAATACTTTTTTCAACTTATTTCAGTCCACTTGTGTATTTATGGCCTGATTTTTCTTAACCCTTTGATGTCCTTGCTAAGAAAAAAGTAGTGGAAATGATTTCATTGCATTTTTGCTTTCTGGGCAATATTAATATTATCTGTTTACAACATCATAGCACAATTAAAGTAGTAGAAACGGCTCTACTTGGTCAATTGGGGTCATTACATTTTTCAATAATATATAATGACTCGATGTTCTCTAGAGCAGACGGTTAAAGGGTTAAACCTATTGTCTACCATGTAGAGATAGCAGATTAGTGCCGGCGTCACGTTCACAAGTGTTTTTCCAGACTTTGTTCAACTTTTTAAAATCACACGTGTACTCCAAATATCTGTAGAGAACTGCTCACTTTTTATTTGTTTTGTCATACTCACATTGTTGAGCAACATGTCCTTTACTTAGTGACAGATTTCATCACAAGTTCGGCGTCTTGAATTTGGCTGTCAGTGGTTTCATCCATAACTTCTTTTTAATCAGACCCTGATGTGAATCTGTGCGCTGGATGTTGCACCCCAACGTCTCTGCTGTTTTTAATACTTTTAAAAACAAAGTCTGGACAAAGAAACGGTCCAAGATGGGACTTGACTTTCCGCTCTCAGTTTGCTTTGTTATGCCAGTCATTCCTTGGTTTGAGACTTATTTCTGTAGCTGACTTGAATAGCAGGAACAAATCCTCATAATCTGTCACCCCCCGTTTTCAATCATTCCTACTCGGCACTGCGAAGCCTTTGCAAACCCCACACCAGGGCTGGAAAGCGCACTGGAACCTTCTTATTCCAGTAAAAGTATTTTAACCTGAGAGAAGTGAAAGTGAATATTCTTGATTAAAAATGAACATGTCTTCACTAGGAATCTCAAGCAGCTCAGAGACAGATCCTCATGGAGTTCTTGAAAGAAGCCAGGAGAAACAAGAGAGAGGTACCGGTGCTTTTGATATTCATGTTACAGCTGTACTGCTGCCTGGCAAAGCCTAATGATCCGCGTCTCTGGCTCCGTCTACAGCAACTGGAGCAACTGCAGAAAGAGCTCAGCTTCCTTGAAGAGGACATTAAGCGCGTTGAGGTAAAACAAAAGACTCTCCGCGTGTTGTGAATGTGTTGTCACAGTTATAAACCCCTACAATGGGGTGAAATGCTGTGACTGTAACTGGAGAGAAACCTGTTATTTCTGTGTTGTACAGGAGATGAGCGGGTTGTACAGTCCCATGATGGAGGCCGAGTGTACGGTGCCTAATGTTGAGGCTCCCTCACCAGCACCCAGGTACAGCCGACTGCCTCTATGGTTATATCTAGATAAGATGTACAATCTATGAGTCCATCGTCATCACGAACAATCACATTCAGCCTCTGTGATAGAAACACAGACGGTCCACACTGATTCATATTTTGCCTGTGACTCTGATAACAAGTACGGGCGTAGAGCAGGACCCAAGCACACAGCTGGGTAAAATCCGAAGGAACTACTTTTTTAATAGCAAAGCATGTGCGTATGGTGAGGATGTTACGGCTCCTGTCCACTGACACCGTCTCTGTATGTGTGTTGTTTGCTCGTCGTGTAGCTGCAGCAGTATGATGGAGACGACAGACTACATCCAGCCTCCAGGTTTTGGCGGAGCAACTCCGGTAACTCCGAGAAACAGACACACCCTGTGTATTAGCCATTTCTTCAATATTTACGTCTGTTATTTTCATTATCTTTTGGGATTTAAATTGATTTGTAATCTGGTTTGTTTGCATACTTCTCATCAGCACATTTTTATAATAAGGATGCATTGCATGGTTTTGCTTCCAAAGGAATATTAGAAGGTGTTCCATAGTTCTTAGAAAGTAGAAGTAATACATGTACTCAAGTTGTGTAGTGATAGAGTGAACTTTAACAGCAAAAACACACACTCTCAGTAAAACTATGAATACGTTTGGACAGAGTAAATGTAAATGTTTAGCAGTGACATGACTGCACACGTTTTTTTCCAGCTCAAAAGACAGACCTGGTACAACAGCACGCTGGCGTCGAGGAGGAAGAGGCTCACTGCTCATTTTGAGGATCTGGAGCAGTGCTACTTCTCCAACAAAATGTCCCGAATCACAGGTACTAATCCCACAGGGAATTGGACCATCACTCTCAATAGCACAATAGCAGTTTGTCTGAAGACATCTATAGGTAGACACCTGGAGGAAGGACTTGAATAAGAGAAAAAGTCAAAAGGAAGAATGAGAAAAGGCAGGTACCTGACATACTCCTGTAATCGTAATTTATTGCTGTTACAATTCATTCAAGCTCTATTCAGTAAAAGTAAGTGTTGTTAAACGTATATTACGATGTTTTACTGCTGTGATTCTTCCCTTAAATGTAATCTTGGAACATGTTGATTTTGGCATGAAACTTGAATAAATTAAGTTGTTTGAAGGAGACATTTTTAATACCAATATAAAATAGATATTAGAGAACAAACTATCCCTCAGTTCCAAGCATGTTAAAACACATTCAAACTAATGCCCCAAACTGTTTGTATAAGCATTAAAAAGAAATATCAACAACAAAAAAACTCTTAGCTGATATGTCACATTGGCGATCCTCAATCCCAATCAAGAAGCTGATCGTGGCTTCTGCCCCCTTTCCCCAATAACTGTCAGCATGCGGTTCCTGCCTCCATTGCTCCTTGCAAACAATCTTTTCTTGGTGTCCATCTGTTGTGTCCAGATGAAGGCAGGAACTTGAACCAGTTGGATGATTTTATGGAGTGTCTGTCCAAGTTTACCCGCTACAACTCGGTGCGGCCACTCGCCACCCTCTCGTACGCCAGCGACCTCTACAACGGCTCCAGCATCGTCTCCAGGTACCTAAAGGGGAAAGGTCTCTTCATCAACATCTCAATCACTCTGTTGCACTGATCTTTTAAAGTGTAACCTTTTCTCAATGACTGCATTGCTTTCCAGTATTGAGTTTGACCGTGACTGCGACTACTTCGCCATCGCTGGCGTGACTAAGAAGATCAAGGTGTTTGAGTACGGCACGGTGATCCAGGACGCGGTGGACATCCACTACCCCGTGAATGAAATGACCTGCAATTCCAAAATCAGGTAGGGGCAATCACTCTTTCACATAGTCCAGGTACTCAAGACCCAAAGGGAGAAATGTTGTTGTTTTTAACACATATTCAATAAAGATAATGATGCTGGAGAAACACTCTACTGGTTTCTAAATGTATTAAATCAAGTACACTTATCAGCACATGGTGAGACAGCAAGCATCATCATTGATGGGGCAGGAATGTTAGCACTGTCTAGGACTCAGGCATCTGATCTGTAAAATCAATGTCATACATGACATGGCGAATGAAGCCGTTATTCAGAACCTAACAAACTGCACTTCCCATATTTGTTGTAGCTGTATCAGCTGGAGCAGCTACCACAAGAACCTTCTGGCCAGCAGTGATTACGAGGGTACTGTCATCCTGTGGGACGGGTTCACCGGCCAGAGGTCCAAAGTCTACCAGGTATGATGCTTAGCAGGCGTAGGAGGTGTTCAGAGCAGCAGGTCTTCCCAACATAACAATGCTGCTTGTCTAATATGCAGGTCACCTACTTGCACAAGGCTGAGTTTAGATAGTTATTGAACACAAATAATAAATGGGTAGAAAACAAGCGCCCCTTCTTCCTTTAATTCTCGCTGGAGGACACCATCTCACTCCGGGCACAGACGGGCACAAATGCAACGCTCAATTACAAAAGCCCCCCTCAGTCCCGAAAGAGCTCCTAAGTTGCCATGTGAACAGTTGTGAGTGAATATGAGTGGAGTTTCTGGTACACTGCTCGTGTACTTAGAACGTGTGCCCTCCAGCTGAATGATGTCATCCCTGACATTGTTTTGCTCGTACCTCTCCTGTTCACGATGTAAGCCCAAGATTCCTAAATTCACCCTCCACTGTGTAATATATGTATTTATCTGTGTGTGTTACTCCTTGTAGGAAAGTGGGTGTTGTGTAACCCTCTCATACAATGTCAATCAATAAATTATCATTGCAACCTAGTCACTTTGTAGAGTGAACAGGGGACATGGTGCACTTTTTTAATTACGGTTTCTTCTGTTTCCTTTTCAGGAGCATGAAAAAAGGTGTTGGAGTGTCGACTTCAATCTAATGGACCCAAAGTTGTTGGCCTCCGGTTCTGATGATGCAAAAGGTAACTGGACCAGTATTCCTTTTGTCGCACACGGTTCGGTAACAAATCATCCTTCCGGCTCATAGAGGAATCTTCATGTCTGTTTGTTGTGTTTCAGTGAAGCTGTGGTCGACCAATCTTGATAACTCAGTGGCCAGCATCGAGGCCAAAGCCAATGTCTGCTGTGTGAAATTCAGCCCGACCTCCAGGTACCATCTGGCCTTTGGCTGTGCAGGTGAGATCTGGATGGGCTTTAGGTCGGGTTTGTCAGATTTCTCTCGTCTTTATTTTTTTGTCAGAGACATTCAAAGCTTGTTTCAGGTTCTCGAACGAAGTCCAAATGTCTATCATCACATAGTATATTCACCTTTTACAATGTGACACATGTGTCAATGTGTTTTTGGGTTGTAGTTATATCAATTCAATTTATAGAACTGTTAGATTGCTGCTCTGTCGCTCCATTACGAAACGCTTATCCAACAGTTATGGATCACTGTGTTTTTGGGAAACGGGGGAAAGATTCAGGGAAAAGCCTTTGGATGATCACACGCAATGTGTTTCTGTGCAAGATCTCTGCCTGTCTCTTTCTCTCTTGTTTGTACAGGACCTGACACATGTGGAAGCCCATTTCCACCAGTAAAAAGACCTTAATTTAAGTCTAAAAATGAAAGCTCCTCAAAACAATGAATGTTTGTCGAAGTAAGGAGACACTTTGTTATGGAATCTCAAAAGACATTCTTTCTGATACTATATTATTAATCAACCAAAAATGATATACGCTCTCAAAATGAGGAATCTCAGACTTATCTTTAACCAATGATTCAGTATGTGAAGACAATGAGAAGCTGATAACTAATGCATGTTTCTCATAAGATTTGCAGGATGTTTTATTATTTTTTTCCATTGGCAGGAATGGGTCTCCACAGACTCAGGCCTTACAACCAGTTAATTCATTTCAGATGTTAAAAGTCCAAAAATGTCTTGGGCAAAAGACTTGTTGTTCCTCTCATCGTGATGTATTAACATTTTTACACACCTCACACTTCTGTAGCTTGTCATCGTAGACAACAACGTTTCTTGTGCTTTCTTAGACTCCTGTGGTCCTGACAAACTGCTGAAAACTTAATTTGTTGCTCACTTGGGGGAGAAGGGAGAATTTTAAATATTCCCTTGTACACAGAAACAATCCTTCAAGTCCCTAACATTGTACAAACCAGAGACTCTGGTATAATCCAGCGGTGAACCTGCCCTAGTTTCTTTAGCCCGATCGCTGTGTGACACAGGCCAAAAGAACCCCCTCCTTCCTTGTTAAAGTCCATAGTGAAGCTTGTATATTGGAGTGACAGCCAGCAGGCACTGTGTTGCACCGTCACTCCTACGTGACGGCCCGGCTTAGTGGTGACTCGGTGATTGACACCAAATGAATGCATACCCTTTCTTTTTTTTCTCCATGCAGACCACTGTGTCCACTACTATGATCTCCGCAACACTAAGCAGCCCATCATGGTGTTCAAAGGCCACAGGAAGGCTGTGTCTTACGCCAAGTTTGTCAACGGAGAGGAGATAGTTTCTGCGTAAGTTATTTTTAGCAGTGCTGTGCTAAAGTTTTATTCTTGCCATCTAGAATCAGCTGTATAGATTGCGCCTGGTTCTTAACCAGAAAGTTTTCCATAGAAATCCAACCAGGAGTATGGACATAGTGCTGAGTTCGACAGCAGCTTCTCAAACATCCTCTCTCCTCTCTCTCTGTGTCTTTACATGAGGAGTCCTGCTTTTCTCTGACATACAGCACTCCAAATCAGTACATTGTGAGACTCTCATCGCGGCAGAGAGAAGTAAAAGATAAAACATGTGTCTACATTTCCCTCCAGTAGACGCTGAACTCTTTCGAGAATGCGAGAAAGAGAGGAAATGTCTGTAGTTTACCACAACAAGCAGAAGATGAATCTGCAGAAAAGCAGATTTGTCGGTCCTCGTCCCCTGCACCTTCGCTAATTGTTCAGCTGCAGGTGTATTTTATGGATTTTCTAACTACTTGTTGATGCTCAAGAAGGAATATTTCATTAGACACAAGAATTACAAAGCAATTTTAATACATTCCTTAATAATCATCTTCCCTTTTCACAAAATAATAGTAATTTCAATGAACCAAACAGAGTACTAGTAACGATACCATCCCTACTATTAGGTTGTCTGTATACCAAATGACTTGTCTTTACTCATTTTACAGGAAAGCCGCTCTGATTGCGAGGCTGACTGTTGATAATATCCTCCCTCTGATTAGCGGAGACCCCTTCTGGTTGAAGACTTGTAACCAACGTGTGACTCGTTTTGTGTATTTACGCCCTTTCAGTTCCACGGACAGTCAGCTGAAGCTGTGGAATGTCAACAAACCTCACTGCTTGCGCTCCTTCAAGGGTCACATCAATGAGAAGAACTTTGTGGGCCTGGCCTCCAATGGAGACTACGTTGCCTGTGGTAAGCATTGATTTTTAAAATGGGCCGTAAGGCAGGATGTCCTTGATATTTGCGCAAGGAGGGCCGCAGAAGTAGATTAAAGACAAAAAAGACAAACCGCTTTTTTGTCTTTTGTGTGTTTGTACAGGCAGTGAAAACAACTCCCTGTACTTGTACTACAAAGGGCTGTCCAAGACTTTATTAACATTCAAGTTCGACACGGTTAAGAGCGTCTTGGACAAAGACAAGAAGGAGGACGACACCAACGAGTTTGTCAGCGCAGTCTGCTGGAGAGCGCTGCCCGACGGAGTGAGTTCCGATCACAGCTGCTAATGACGGTCAGAGAGAGGAAGTACCTATTTGTTGGGTTTAATCAATGGTGCTTTGTTTTTCAGGAGTCAAATGTCTTGATTGCAGCAAACAGTCAAGGAACAATCAAGGTTTGGATTCTGGAAGTTGCACATAAAACATACCGATAAAGACAGCGTTTTGCATTTCTCCTGAAGAGTTTGTTGCTAATTAGTTATCTGCCAATCAACCAATCTGCGGGTGTCATACTATAGAAGCCATGAGTGCGCTCATCTTGTTTTAACCCTTTGTCCCCGGTGACGTAACGGCTCAGTCTTCTCTCTCTCTCTCTCTCTCTCTCTCTCTCCGCGCAGGTTCTTGAGCTCGTCTGAAGGCCCGGCCACGTCTCAGTGTGTTTTAGAAACGTCCATCAGCTTCGTTGTCTGATGGAAGATCAGTGCAATGAAGGGAGGAACCTGAGCTGCCCACTCAACCCGGATAGCTGTCTTATTTTTAATGAGCTGCAGCGAAACAGACTGGACCAGTTTATCAGTACAGCGGGAGAAGATGTGCTGCTGTTTCACAGCAAGAGAAACGAGACCAAGTTTGAGCACACAATGGAACAAGAGACTTTGTTTTTTTACGGTAAAATTATATCAGCTACGATAGAAACGCCTCTTTATGAATTTAGGTCAAATCAAAACTTGTATCTTTTCTTTTTTTATATATTTTTTTAAATCAAGCTGTTGCTCTCAAGGAAACATCCATCCAAACGCTACCAGTGTGATGTATTTTTTTTGCTTTTTAAAGGCCGAAGCACATGACAAAATCCCACGCAAAAATCATGACTTGGAACCGCCCCTCCACGTACACACACACACACACTCATTTTTGTCATCCAAATGCTTACCCTCTTTTCCTGTCGTTCTTTGTGTTTTTCAGATTGGGAGAAACCAGTTTTAATAAATAAGACTTGAATTTCATTCTGTTGAGCGTATCGTGGCTTCCTTTTCTGGCTTTAGTGTAGCATGTCAGATAGTGTACGGGACCACCAATGGATCATGGACAGCAACTCTCATGTAGCTTAAGGCATTCATCTGCAATGGCACACCAAACTGTTAAAAAATAACGACCTCACCAATCAAGTTTTGTCTTTACAGCAGAAATTAAAGTAGTCTCCACATACTCAAGGTTAAAACGTCGACATTTAGAATTCAACAGGTGATCGATGTTGCCCACATTGCCATGGAGAGGATTCTGGTAAACACCACCAAGACCTTCTTATTTTATGATAAATGAGTGAGGTGTTTTGTATTTGTATAACAATAAATTATTTCTAAACAGTTTTGTCCCGTTTGGTCTTTTTTTTTAAACTAATAATTTGAAAAAATAAGATTGTTTAATTAGTATATTTGTATGACTGAGTTGTGTTAATCATTGATGTTAATAATAATGATAATAAAAATCGCAGAATATCCAGTTGTAACCGAACAGTATGAAGTATGTATCTCTGTGTGGTTATAATGTAGCAGCCTGGTATTTTCATGTGAGAGGCTGTGCCTGAGCCAACTACAGTCTCTTAACAGTAAGGTGTATTCAAGAAAAGTATTGAGAAAAAGCAACGTTATCTGAAAAGTTTTAATGTTGAAGACTTACTAACTGGTGGTTTTCTATTAAAACTTGTTTTTCTTTACTATTTGTTTTCATTCTCATTTGTGTTCTGATAAAGGTTAAACTGTAGCGAGGGCGTAATGAAAAGAAAAGACGGAACTAAAGTGCTCACAGAGCAGCGGCGGAGGGGTTTGGTAGACGGACCACGGGCAATTAGCCTGTTGGCATCCGCCGGAAACAACCGGACTCCAGTCAAAGCAAGTCTTATGTTACCCAACGAAACCTTGGTTGTCTTTAGTTACCCACATAGCTGAACGCCTCCTTTCAGATTTCACTGTTTATTGATTTCATCCAGCGGTTAAGTCCTTCGTGGTGACGATGGGAGTACCGAAATTTTACCGATGGATTTCGGAGCGCTATCCGTGTCTCAGTGAAGTTGTCAAGGAACATCAGGTAGGAAACCAATGAGGAATATCGTTAGCTTTGCGAGCCTCTGTTGCCAATAGCCGCTTCGTTAGCTTAGCTAGCTATTGGCTAAGTTTACGGTTCGCGGGCCGTGGGATTTTTATTTCGTGTTAGTTAGTTTAGCAATGTTTTTGTTTGGGGAGCACAGTGCTGTGGCCAACCATTTCTGATTAACGTTAGCTTACATCATTCAGCGTAATTACACACAATATAGCATAACGTTACGTTATATAACTTGTACACGTAACGCTAGCGTCATTTAATGTTAGCTAAGTTACCAAATTACAATAATAACTACTATTTTTACTATTTTTCTTGTGTCTAACGTAGCTAATTGTTATCGTTAGTTAACTTGCGTGTCATGTTACACAGGGAGACGTAAATGGGATTAAAGATGACCCCTTGGGTCAGTTTTTGTATTTTGTTTGCCTAGAACATTCTGAAAAACAAGAAACCATTTGTAGTCCGCTTAAGTTAAGTTTACCAACGTTTCACTGGCCAGATATAACCTTAACGTTTGTATAGCGGTTGAAGCCAACGGTACTTTACAGCCGCCTTTCTTTAAAACAAAATGTGGGTTGTAAAATGTAGCAATTGTATGTGCATGAGTTATTACAGAGAGGGAAGTTAGTTATTAGGTCACTCTAGCGGCTCTGGAGTGCACTTTAGTGACCTAGTGTTTCAGTGCTCGAGCAGTTGTTTCATCAGCTGGACGCTGCGTGCGTGTCCCTCTAATTACGTAACCCAGCTTCGACACATTTGTTAAGACCGTAAAGAGGTTAACATAGAAGCATTGTATTGAATGACAAATTATATGGGAAATTATGTTTTAGGTTTAGATTGGCTGGAATACCTCCGGTGATGAAAGATGAGTTGGACCTTTCATTTGTGACTATGACTGTGACTATTTTTTTATATCCGGGATCCCCAGATACATGAACAAAATGAGATTGCTAACAATTTATTATACATCTTTATTTCATTTTTCTTTCTCTATTCAGATTCCAGAATTTGACAATCTCTATCTGGACATGAACGGGATCATCCACCAGTGTTCCCACCCGAACGACGAGGATGTCCACTTCCGCATTTCCGAGGAGAAAATCTTTGCCGATATCTTCCATTACCTGGAGGTTCTCTTCAGGATCATCAAGCCTCGCAAGGTCTTCTTCATGGCGGTGGACGGCGTGGCGCCGAGGGCAAAGATGAACCAGCAGAGAGGACGAAGATTTAGGTAGAGGGGAATTTAAGAGAAGCCAAACGCAGGCAAAATACTCGTCCGTTTGTTGTGTATGGTGATGCCCATAGTAGGTCAACACTAGTCATCAGTTTTTTTTTTTTTTTTTTCCAATGATCAAAAAAAGAAGGGGTATCCATGTCCGCTCCTTGACGTTGACTCTTTGGTATACCACTGGGGAACATTCTCTTATTTAGTTACCTGATCAAGACGATAACTCGTATAATATATATATATATAATATACAAGATTTTTTTTCTTCTCAATATTGCAACATTTGTGTTGGTTAAGAGGGAAGAAACCAGACTTCAGACTGTGACCTGTTCTCTTTCCTATCGGTGTGTTTAGATCGGCCAAAGAAGCAGAGGACAAGATAAAAAAAGCTCTGGATAAAGGAGAGGTGCTTCCCACAGAGGCTCGCTTCGACTCCAACTGTATCACTCCTGGTAGGAAAGGCTTGGATGCATTACACAAAATGAATAATACACCACACCTTGGGAAATTTGTTTTTCATGTTTGTCTTTGACCCGTCATGCCAGGCTCAGCCATAACGTATAATACCCAGGTCTGTTCTACATTAACAGGAAGTCTTTTTCAAAATCTATATAAGATCCAATGTTGCTTTTCTAAATACATTCGTTATAACTAGAGTTTAAGAATTGTGAAAGAGTTTCCTCTTGAGTCTTTCTCTCTCCCTCTGACACTAAAGGCTGGCGCATGCGTCTGCGTATTTACGCACTGTCGTGTTGACGCACTTGTTTCAATTTATAGTTCAAAACGGAGTGCGTGTGTTGCAGAGCAAATCACCGCCAGAAGAATAGGTGGAGTAACGTGTTTTTGTTGAAGACGACCTAGAGAGTCACGTCTTTGTGTGTGGAAGCCGTTTGCGGAGATCTCTCTCCATGAATCAGAGGCCATCCGCGCGTCCTTATAGTCTGCCAATGGCGGCTTGTAGAAGTGGTTATATTTACGGGTTTATTTCGACAAAAGCTCTTCAATCTGATCCGTTCTCTCCTAAACATTCTTTGTTTTAATAATGGCGGTATTGTGCTATGAAACCGGAAATGTGAGACTCCGCAAAGGATGTAGTTAGCAGACCAATCGCAGCCTTGTGCGCTGCGGGAGGCTTGCGTCGCTTTTGACGCAAGTCTAGAAAAATGGGTCGACGCACGCAAGGAGGTGTGAAAAGGCACGCAAGGGGGTCTTGCGTCTGTGTGTCCTTGCGTCGCTCTGAAAACGCAGAAGCATAAACTAGGCTTAACCCTTTGATCCGAACCAAATAGTACTAACAAAGGGTGCAATGGAGTTCATGCTCTTCTTTTATTGGCACATATCCTGATATCTTTTCTACGGAATCAGTTTCAGGAGAGGAAACCACTTTTGATTGGTAGATCGTTAACTGAGACGCAGTTGGATTAATAGCTTTCACACCAGCCAAGACATTTATGTTCTGGAGAGAATTCAAAAATGTAGTCCGAAATAAATCCTGGCCCAGCTCACAGAGGCAACAAACTTTACGAGAGGACTAAATGTTCTTCATTAACACGCCACTCGGTCCCACAGTACAAAATGTTCTTTTTGGAGAGCGGGGGACACCCAGCAATTCTGTGTGAAGGGGTTGAGGTGCGTTAAACCTCTCCATCAAGACATGTACACAATGCTAACAAAGCAGATGCACAGATTGCAATCGATTGCAAAAGCTTTTTTGTATCAATTTTTCATTCACATGAATCTTCAAAATGGATTGTTAAATAACTAGAATTGTCTCCAACTCTCTGGAAATAACAAAAGTCACATCAAGTCCCTAGTCAATTGCAACATTGTGGCACTTTTGCAAGCTTCATGTGTTCAACTCGGTCCATTATGTTTTTCTTTAAATGTTCCTCCCTGCAGGCACCGACTTCATGGCCCGACTCCAGGAGCAGCTCAAGTATTTTGTCCACAACAAACTCTCCACTGACAAGCTGTGGCAGAACGTCAACGTATACCTGTCCGGTCACGAGGTGCGCTGACCGCTGCTCACTTCCCTTGAATCCATCCCAGCTTCTGGTATCTCTTCGTTCTACCTTTCCACTTCTCCTCCCCACAGACTCCTGGTGAGGGGGAACACAAGATCATGGAGTTCATTCGCTCAGAGAACACAAAGGCGACTCACGACCCCAACACCCGGCACTGCCTCTACGGCCTGGATGCCGACTTGGTAGGTTGGGCTTTGTGTGCCCTCAGATGAGGGTGTGTGTGTCGTTGGCTCAAACCCTCCATGTGGTTTCCTCCTCTGTCTTAGATCATGCTGGGTTTGACCAGCCACGAGCCAAATTTCTCCCTGCTCAGAGAAGAGGTCCGCTTCGGAGGAAAGAAAAACCAGAAAAGGTTCCCTTTTGCTCAACTTTTTAAGTCTTTTTTTAAATTTCATGTTTTATATTTTTTGTTCGGTCATGTCATGTTCCACCAATTTCATCTCTTTTCTATGAATGTGTTTGTCTTTCAGGATATCTGCTCCAGAAGAGACAACCTTCCACCTGCTTCACTTGTCTCTGATGAGGGAGTACATCGACTATGAGTTCTCTGAGCTCAGGGTGAGACACACACATCAATATGAACATTGCTGCTAATGCCTGGGATGATTTAAATGAATTCTGATTTTTTCATTTAAATTTTTTGCAGAACCAGATTGGTTCTGATTATGATTTGGAGAGAATAATAGACGACTGGATCTTAATGGGCTTCCTGGTGGGAAATGATTTCATCCCTCACCTCCCCCACCTTCACATCAGTCACGATGCTTTGCCGTTGCTGTACAAGACCTACATCAGGGCCCTGCCCACCATGGGAGGTGAGAGAGGCACAGCATAGCATCCCACCTATTTTAAGTTTAAACGTTGTCAAGGATGTTTATCATGGTCTTTCCGTTGTATTTCCAAAGTCGGTCGTCTCCTGTGTTTACTTTGGTCTAATAGTTTTTACATATCTCTTATAGCATAGAAACATGATCTGCTACTATGATGCATGTTTCGTAAAAAACCCAAACTGTCCTGTTTTCTGACAGGTTACCTGAATGAGAACGGCCACCTGAACCTGAGAAACTTTGAGCAATACATAGAGAAGCTTGCTGAGGTGAGACAACATGAACTAATATTCATTCCCTTTAGCTCTGAATGATGCTTTATAATGCATTTACCAAGTGAGGTCAACTGTACATGTACAGTTACATGTTTAACATCCTTGTTATTGTTATATATGTAATGTAAAACTCTAAACTACTGTGCAAAAACAACTATCTGTGATCCAACTGGATTCTCATTTCCTCATTGCCTACTACTAAGTTATGGGAGGGGAAAAAAAATCAAGAGAAGTATTGCATAGTATTTCCTTCCAAATCTGCAGGGTTGTTTTCAGTCCACAGCTCTTCCTCACTATACAACTGCTAGCTATTTAAAAAAATAAGAAACGGTTGGCAAAACTCCCAGGACTGCATTTAGTTTTTGTGCTTTTCACCGTACATGGAGTCTTCATTTACTTGGTGGCAGAGAGAACTGCGTACAGACACAAAAGCTTCGAGCGAACCTGAATTCAGACGTGTCATTATTGTACAGCCATTACATTACCATCATTTGAGTAGCTTGTTAGCTATGACATGATGGCATATATTGGAGAGACCACCATGAATGGTTGTGCCTCCCCCCCCCCCCCCCCCCCACACTTTTTTCAGGTTGACCGGGAACATTTTCGTGATATTTTTGTGGACCTGAAAGGGTTTGAGAGCAAAGTTGGTAACCAGTAACCGGACCAGGGAGGCGGACGTGGAGCTGAAAAAAGAAACTCCCCGAAAAGACACCGTCAAGAAAGAGGTTTGGTCTTATCTTAAAATGTCATTCTCACACACACGTATGTTTGTAGACATACATTCATACATCTAGTCACAAAGGAGGAGGGCTGTAACAGAAATGAAAACCCTAACATTCATGCATTCATTTTTGTCATGTCGCGTATCCTTGAGTAATAACTTGTGTGTGTGTAGGAATCTACCTCAGAAAGAGTGATTGGAGAAGGAAAAGGAGCGGGAGGCGACGATGAGGAAGAGGAGGATGATATGTTTGAAACTGAGTTCCGACAGTACAAGCGCACCTACTACATGACCAAGATGGGCGTCGATGTGGTGTCTGAGTGAGTGTATAGACAAACATACTTGGAGTACATAGAAAAACGAGACGTACCACAGGAGGCGGGGCTCCCTGATGTTTGAGGTGATCACATTAAGGGCCTGCTGTCTATAGAGGAATAATACATCTGGGACATCAGATCATAACACTGCCATTGAGCTTGTGAACAAATTGTGGCCAAAATTATTAGAACACCTGTCGGGTTTGAACATAGTGACCTTTTTTTGCCTCCAAAACATGATTTCATTTCATGATGTTCATGAAACATGCAGATGGTTGCTCTGAGCACAACAAATAACAGATGAGTCCCACTGTTTTTATCCACTTTTAACTTAATATTTGGTATGTCCACCGTTTGCAGCAATTACAGCAGCACAACTCTCTGGCATAGTGTCAATATATTTCCTGAGAACTTCCACACTAATGTTATCCCATTTCTTCTGCAACTCAAGCCAAAGGCTTTCCTTTGAATGTACAAAACATCTGTCCAGTTTATTTTCCAACTCGCCCCAAATTTGCTCGATGGGGTTGTGGTCCAGACTTTGAGGGGTCCAGTCCTTCATTTTCAATGTTCCAGCAGATTCCTTCTGTCGCAGGTAGTTCCGGCAATAGTTAGAAGAATGTTTAGTGTCATTGTCCTCTTGGAAAATAAATCCAGGCCGAGTAAGACGACTCCCAGATGGTACTCCGGGCCTCACCAGAATGTTGGGGTATACTTTCTTGTCCATGATGCCGTTAATTTTCACTAAGTTACCTGTTCCTGAGGCTGAAATGGCACCCACACCACAATACCGCCTCCATGTTTAACCATTGGAGACCCTTTTTTATATCCTCCCTCCGTTGAACATACATTCTTCGCTCGTTGCCAAAATGTTCAAACATTTCTTGTGTTCTTTTGCAAATGTCAGGCGTTTCACTCTATTTTTCTTTGTAGATATTTCATTCATTATTATTAGTATTTTAATGGGCAATTCAACAAAAATGGGTGCACCTTGGCAGAGTGATCTTATTACATTAAAGATCTCAGTTTTGTTGTATGTTAAAATAAGTTCTGGCAGGTGCTTGTTTATTCACGCTCAGCAGGTCAGCAAAAGTGTATTGAAAAAAAATAAAATAATGGAAATGTAATTGCAATTTTTATGTCCATTTAAAACAATGTAAATCCATTTTTTATAGAATGCTTCATGCTTATACGTCAACTTGCGTGTCAAAATGATCCGAAAATATTCTCTCCTTTGCAGTGAGTTTCTTGCCACGCAGGCCAAGTGTTACGTGGAAGGTATCCAGTGGATTCTTCACTACTATTACCACGGGGTCCAGTCCTGGAGCTGGTAAGCACTACTTCTTCACATGTTACCTTTTCTATTCATTTATTTGGTTTGATTTGTACATTGCCTGAGTACAAATGCCTAATCTCCCTCCACTCATCAATGGCATTATCGGGAACCCTCGCGTCTTCGAGGCAACCGTTGCTGATGTCCATGATGACGTGAAAAAGCATTTCATTTTCAGCACCATCTTCTAATGTTATGCTCTTTGGGGACTCGTAGCTAGAGTTATGGAGTCATAAAGGACAACTCTGATTTGCACTTTACAACATTTATTTTCTCTATTTCAAACATTTCTATGATGATAGGCCATCCCCTCCAATACATCTCACTTTAGTGTCAACACATATTTCCTACAAGAAACTATTATGGATGCTAACCGCTCCTGTGTTCCCTTGTCCGGTAAAAGTATCGCGCATGGATTGAGTCATTTTAACACTAAGTTCAGGAGTGTTGTAAGAACCACATTAGTAAGATCCCTGTACTCGCTTTCCTGTTTCAATTTAAAACCTATTGAATGGAGCACATTTAAATAATGCCTGCATGTCTTTCCAGGTACTACCCCTACCACTACGCCCCCTTCCTGTCTGACATCAGGAACATAGCCGACTTGAAGTTAACCTTTGACCTTGCTAAACCCTTCATGCCCTTCCAGCAGCTATTGGCAGTGCTGCCTGCTGCCAGCATGGAGCTGCTGCCTGAGAGTTACAGGGTAACGCGCGCGCACACGCTCACGCACGTGAAATATAGGATCAATAGCAATGTGATAATCAATTGTTTGATAATACAGCACCTGATGACCAGTGAAGACTCCCCAATCATTGAGTACTACCCTCTGGACTTTAAAACGGACCTCAACGGCAAACAGCAGGAATGGGAGGCTGTAGTTCTTATTCCATTCATAGATGAGGTACACACACACAGAAACACACCTGACAACATTATGTTAAAAGGGCATAATAATATGTGTGTTGTGTTTGTTGAACAGAGGTGTCTACTAGCAGCCATGGAACCCTTTAATGACAAAATGACTAAAGAAGAAAAGGCTAGGAACCGTCACACAGAGTGTGCCGTCTACTCGTACGACCCGGAACAGGACTGCATGTACACCTCCAGCCTACCTCAGCTGTTCCCCGACATCGTCCACTGCCACGTCAGGTAGACACACACACACACTGTGCCGTCAAGTCATCGCATGATCAGCCACGTAGAGCAACAGTTCTTGCACTGTGAACGTGGCTTTGAGGGAAAAATTAGATTTTCAAAACTGGCCTAGGTAAAGCAGGATATTCTTTTCAATGCATTTTGGACTACGGACACTCTGGAGTAATTTGACATGTTCGGTTCACACGGGATTAGGAAACAATCTCTTTAATGATACTAGAGATGTACCGAATAGTTACATGCTCAATTTATCTGTGTCAAACTAGAGCATGGTATGTGGTATTCTGTATTCTGATCCTGTCTTAGAAGTTAGTGGTTTAGATCCACTGGTTACTGTGCGTAGGCGTCTCCGACGTGTGTTTTCAAAACATTCGTTGCGGTTTAAAATGTATTTTTGAGGTTCTTTTCAAAAATCTGCAACGTGTGTTTCTTTTTTTTTTGTGTCAAATCATTCTACTTTAATCCATATTTGTTGTTTGCAAAACATTTTTAGTGTGGCTCCTAACGCACACACTAACGTTGTATTCATTCAATAAAGTTGATCTCATAATAAAAGAATAATAATCCCATAAACCAATATTTTAAAATTTCATTTATCACCAGAAACCAGGGTGGAGTAAAAGCCGATGTGGCAAGAGTTTAGTATTTTTGCTCCATCTCATTCGTCGTGTTGCAAGTTCAGCAAATTTTGTTTGTGCACACAGACGAGCTAAAGAAAGCCAGCGTGTCCCGTCATTGCACGTGCAGCCAGGTGTTGACTGCAGGTCGGCTGTGTGCTTTGTGCGTTACAGGAAAACGGACATCCCCATGGACGCGTGGCACGTAGCGCTGGACCACGTCAGCAGACGCTTTGACCGCTCATCTCTGTACTTCTGTGGCTTCCCCACACTGCAACACATCAAACACAAGGTGTGTGTGTGTGTGTGCCGTTTATTCATTGTACACTGCTATGCAGTACAATCATTCAAACACTGTCCTTGTCTCTGTGTCGCTCTCTTCTTCTTCGGTTCAATCCCCTCTAGTTTTTCAAGAAGAAGAGTGGGGTGGTCGTTTTCCAGCAGAGCAGCAGAGGGGAGAACATGATGCTGAATATCCTCCCCGGCCAAGAAGGAGAGCCGGTGAGCTCTTGTTTGATTGTTTCTTCTGGTGAAAGAGTAAGAGATAAAGAGATATTCGCTGAACCCAACTTTATACTGACCAAGTATTCATTCATTTTTAGAATCTTAGCTCAGTTGTCAGTTTGTTGTTTATCAAATGGTGGTTTGTTCGCATATTGGCTGTTTAGGTCAAGAAAAAAGTGATTTCCCTCTCCGTCTCTTTAGGTGTGTGATAACGTTGCTGAACAAGTACTGGGGAGGTCGGTGTTCGTCAACTGGCCGCATCTAGAGGAAGCTCGCATCATTGCAGTGTCTGATGGAGACGTCAAGTAAGATTTAGCACCCAGCCAATAATGTCAAGAATGATCTGTCTAATGGAAGTGCATTTTGGATTTGTATAAGCTGGCGTGCATCTACACAGATATCAATTCTCTTTGTGTGACGTTTTTGCCACATCCTTTGGTAGCATCCCTGTAATGTTATGGCATGCCCTTTTTCAGTCATTAACAACTCAAATGAACAGATTATGTAGATTGCAATAAGACACACCCCCACCGGCTGGCGCCAAATTCTACTGAAAGTGTCTTTAAAAAAACCCGCTGGTGAAACTGTGGCTACTTTCCCTGAATGTACCGTCCGCTGGCACAGACTTTAACGAGTCAACCGAGTGACATTTCTTTTCCTGTTCTGCAGGTTTTGTCTGGAGGAACCCCCCGGTGTGCAAAGAGTGTATGACCGGTCCTCCACTCCCCCCCCCACCAAAGTCAACTGCCTGTCTGACAAGGAGCAGAAGGACTGGGTGAAGGACGTGCAGGGAGTCACCGAGCAGTAAGTCTCCACGAACAACCAGCGCACCTTTTAAATGTTGTGTAACAGACAAACTGCGGCTATGGCGCCTTTTTAAAGTATTTGTACGGTTGCGCACTAGACCGTTAAGCCCAACAACAACAACAACATTATTTGATGTATCCTAAGACCCGTTTTTTTCTGAGAGCCAAGTGGATTTTATCTCTCCGTTCTTATTTCACGTGTGTGATATTTCCTCATCTTAGTTTTGTGAAGAGGAAAGGCATCGTGGTGAATGAAACGTCGGTGGTTTTGTACGGCCAGTTGCTGTCGGGAAGGAAATACATCCCTAAAGCCAACGGTGTGGTGGAACTGGAGAAACAGTGGGCCAAGCAGGTCCTCCCTTTTGCCTTCCAGACCGTGGTTAAGGTACACTCACACACACACACAGATACAAGTCAACGGGGCCTGTGACCAGTGAAGCACCATAAATCCAGTATCTTTGTATTAGTGAAGTGTTGTAGTCTGAGTGACTCTGTAGCAGCACCAGGGACCTGTACCATGTGATGCTATGTTGTGGTGTTTTGCAAGAAAATCGTTCCACAACTCAAGAGTTCCCAGGTCATGTGATGGAAAATAAAAGTCGGGAGACCTTGCAAAATATCCAATAGATGTGCACAAAATACTTTTATTATACTAGTATTTTGTTTAATTAAATTAAATTTTAATTTTAATTTTAAAAATTTGCGTAATCTAAACGTCACCAAAGCCTTATTTTTCACCAAACTGGGTTGAAACCAAAAATCCACTCTATAGTCACTGTTTGTTTATTCACATTATAGTTGTAGCCAACTGTTTTGACGTGGCCAAACTTAAAATAAATATATTTACTTTTACCGAAACCTAGAATCTAGAAGCCTTCACGGCTTTTCCCTTAATTTAGAAGTTCTTCAGTCTGATTATAAAAATATAAAAATCAAGTGCCACAGATCTCGCCACATACATCTTGATAATAACTTGTATATACATTATACCTTTTTTAAACCGGTATAAAAATAGTAAAAATGATGAAGCAATAAATAACAAATAACACATTTCAAGAATAAAAGAGGACCTCACATAAAATCCAGCCTTAAAAGTTGTTTTTTAATAAATGGATTTCAAAGACACTGCTGATTCTACAGCAGGTGTTCCGAAGAGATGCTTTAAAAAGTGTTAAAAAAAGCTGAATTAATGTTGTGAATCAGTAAAATCTTAAAAGGGGGATTACAGTAATGGAGAAAAGCAAGAACGACTTACTCTAAGTAAGCAAGTGAGAGGAAGGACCTGAAAACTTCCTTTGATATTTTTCACTTTACATTTTCTCAAGAAGGTTAAGTTAAATTAAATTACGTTGTTATGGATTGATATTCATTGTAGATATATAACATATTTAAAGATGCCCTTGTCACTGGCTGTATGAGTTTAGTTTTATATGCCAGTTAATATAGAGACACAACAAGATGACATATTTTATTTCAATCCTTACATCTTGAAAATTAACATGAAAATGTCTGCCTTTGTCTTCTCAGGACATCGAGGCCTTCTACTCATCTCTGACCTGCTTCAAGAGCTTAGATGAGCTCTTTCCTCCGGCCACCACCGTCTTCATGGTGGGGAACCCTTACTACGGGGCCGTGGGCGAGGTATGTGACCACGCTGCAGTCACAGCATTCTCATAATAAGTGATATACAAACAGAAGGTACTCTCGCTCCTGTAATAACCTAACTTGGATGTGATGAGCTGCTCCGATCATCCGGCCACATTTCACAAGTTTCTGTCGCAGAAACGTCTCCTCCTGGAAACACTGTCTCATGAATTGCTCAACAGGTGCAAGACTCAAGTGACGTCATTAAAGAGGGCCGGGTCAGAGTGGTCTTCAACGTGCCGCACGAGCCCCAGCTGGAGCCCCTGATCCAGAATCAGCACGTAAGAGACGCGGCGTCCCGTTACTCACTGGAGAAAGGGTGTCTGTTTGTGCCTGACGTAGTGTGTTTCTCTCGTTTGTAGAAGTACTGTGTGAAGTACAGTCCCGGATACGTTCTGGCATCTCGCCTCGGCATCACCAGCTACCTCGTGTCCCGCTTCTCAGGAAGCATCTTCATCGGCAGAGGCTCTAAGAAGATGTGAGTGCTTCAAGCTGGGATCCACAGCATTTATTTACCTTTGGCTATTCTTTATTTCATTTTCAGATGCACGGATTAATTCATTTTCATGGTCTATTTGATGGTCTACTGACCAGACAGAAACCTGAAGAGTTTATATTTATATGTCTGACAAATGTCTAATGATGAATTAAGCTTTTAGAATTTGGGTCAGAACTTAACCCCCTCCTCTCATTGTCTGCAGCCCCTGTGGGGAGCAAAAAGCTAATGTTGGCCTCAACCTGAAGTTCAACAAGAAGAACGAGGAGGTGCCTGGGTACACAAAGAGGACCGAGAAGGAATGGCTTTACTCTTCTGCTGTGGAAGAATTGCTGGCGGAATATCTTGATCGGTAATCAAAACCAAAAGAACCGGGAGAACCTTAAGGTTTCTAGTAGTGTGGTTTCGTGAGGTAAAACAAGAGAGCATATAAAACTGCTTCAGTTCCAAGATGAACAGGTTTTCCAATTACATGTTTTTCCCTGGAGGCGGGCCGACCCCCATCTACTGTAGGTCATCCACCCACTATGGATATGTTCATCAAACACACACTTTAAAACATTCCAGCTGGGAGACCTGGAGCCTCGGGTTGGATGGATGCGGTAGCAGCAGTCAGGCTTTACTGAAGCACTTTGAAGTCCTTGTTTTAACTTCTCACATTCCTAAACAGGCAAACAATGTTCGTTTAATGCACTTTTTCAACATTTAAAAAAATGTTTTTTTCTTTTCTGTTCTTTTCTAGATTTTCTGAAGTATTCGACTTGGTGTCCAGAAACAGTCATGATGATGTTTTCTATGAAGATGACATCTGGTCTGGAGAGGACCAGAATAGGTAATACATACACACACACACTATTTTATCTCCTTGGGTTTGGGGTTACATAATGACATAAATTGCTGGGTGACCAATCAAGCTAAGAAAAATCAACATATTTGTCGGCCCTGTCTGATAAAAAAAAGTTGTGCTTTCTGATGATTTCTTAATACTGACCGACACCCCACAGTGCGGAGAAGGTCGCCGAGATCACCTCGTGGTTGAAAAGTCACCCGGTGAGCTCCGTCGGCCGGACGTCGTGTGACCTCCAGGTGCTGGACTCTGCCATTGTGGAGCGGATCGAGGAGGCGGTGGAGAAAGCCAAGGTGACACTGACACACGACCCGACGGGCTGTAACCCCGGCACGCCTCAACTCGCTAACGATGATCCACATCATCCTCTCTCCATCACTCTCTTAGGTGAAGAAGAGCACCAAGAAAGTCCGTGTTACAGTCAAGCCTCACCTCCTCTTCAGGGTGAGTGCTTTTTACCTGATGCTTTGTAGGTCTTCTATGTATCGTATGTTTGTATTGGTACCTTTGCCTGGTGGCATGCTTGGAAATGTTCACTGGACTTTTTTTTTTTCTCCATCTTTGACTCATGAAAACTAACGTAAATTGGATTGTGGTGTTGTGGCTTCATGAGTATGTCAAAAGAACTACATGAGAATTTGCCCCTCTTTTTATTTTATTTTTTTAGGTTCACACCGGAAAAGTGCACTAACAAGTGAAACATGATCATTTAGGACAAGAGATGTTACATCAATTGTTATTGTGGTTATTTCTATTTGGGTTAAGGACCTTGTATTGAAGGCCATGTATCACAAATTACGAACCCCATAAAGAGGATTAACAGGCACACAAAGTCTGCTCATTAGTCATGAATACCACACAACGAAGAGCAGCATATACTTTGGCATTGTTGTCTGGCGCCATCCAGAGGAAATGTGACCACCTTGGAACGTCTTCCACTCTAACAAGCCCGTCTCCACTGTATCGAGAAGAGTGTGTGTTTATTTTAGTGAAAGCAACAATGACTCCAATGAATTGATGATCGGAAGTCCTTGTTGAGCCCTCCATATATACTTACTTGTGTGTGTGTTTGTGTGTTAAGCCCTTGGAGCAGCAGCAGGGAGTTGTTCCAGACCCGGATTCAGAGTATCGCCTGTTCGACAGGGTCATCAACACCAGGGAGAGCTTCACCGTCCCACTGGGACTCCGCGGAACTGTCATCGGCATCAAAGGAGGTGAGGATTTTTCCATCTTGTCCACGATGTAAAGGAGAAAATGTGTATAATTGTCACACTTTTCCATCGTGTGCATCTTTGTGCCTCCAGCGGACCGCGAGGCAGAGGTTCTCTATGAGGTGCTCTTTGACGAAGAATTTGCTGGCGGTCTCAACATCAGGTAAGCGCACATGCAGGGGGATTATTGTGGGTCTTGAAACCTTATTACTGCTTCACTCCCGACGGGGCAGAGTGTAGGAAACAAAACGCTAGCAGATAACACATTTGTTATACAGGAAAAGCCTTTCGCTACACAACAGAACAACATCTGACCCTCACATGCCACTCCTCTTCAGGTGTACCTCACCTCGCTGTTACCGACTCCCTCCCTGCGCGCTTATCAACCTTTCCCACGGCGCCCGGACGGATCAGACCTCCCACAAACTCACAGCCATCGTCAAACCTCAGCCGGCTGCCATCTTCAGCTCCCAGCGGCAGCAGGCCGGCCTGAACCACTCTCCTCGTTCCCCCTTCACGCCCACACAGGTGAGGGCGCAGCCCCGCCCCACACTGACACACAGGGCATTTTGTTGTTCTCCCTCATATTTTCCTTCTCTACTCCTCATCACATGTAGCATAACAACAAACACAGTGGGGGGAAGGCGGCCTCCCAGGGCAACAGGAACTCTCCCGCTAAGGGTCCCATGCAGAAACCGCAGACCAAGGTAAGCCTTTGAGTGTGAGCCTATTTGAACCATGTCACAAATATACGCATTTTCTCATGTTGTTTCTGTCGCTCTCTCCACTTCTCCAGGAGTACAGCAACGTGTGGCAATCTCTGCAGAACTCCGGTCCTCCTCTCAAGCCTCCAGCTCAATGGCAAAACGTACGTCTGTTTCTTAAATACAAATCAAGAGGAAGGACTAACTAACTCTTTGTCAAGTATTTCATTTATTATGTTGATTATCAAGGTTTGTCATTTGCTACATGAGATAATTTTGACAAAGGTAGTGACAGATGTGCAAAGTACAGTTGTGCTGATGAACAAGTAATTCCGAACCTCTCTCTCGCAATTTTTCATGTACAGACCGTCTTCCAGCTACTTGTTGAAACACTCTTAAAGATGTCGCTGTGCGTGTCAAAGCTTAAATGAATAAAACAACCTTGTGTGTGTCCAACTCCAGGAAGAGTTTACCCAACAGGGAAGGAACCAGCAGTCCAACAAATCCGTAAGTATACATAAAAAAACATCTATACAGGCTGCATGTGGGTACCTTTGGGTTTGTGTACACTGGATGCTGATGTGTTATATTTCCATGTGTGTTAATAATGTTTCTGTGTGTGCACTTTGCAGGCCCCAGCTGCTGCCATCAGACTGTTGAAGAAGAATGAAGATGGCAACACCCTTTTCCCTCCACAAAACACAGCCAATAAGGTACACACCCTTTAACCTCCTTCTCCCTGCTGGTCAATCATGGATCTGGATATGGATCTTGTAAGGATCTCCAGGAGGATTATCATCTCATCCTGTGGCTTAATCCTCAAATCGTATGTGTACACCATAGTTATAAAATGTTAGATGTGACGTCACATGCTATATGGCGGCCATCTCACCTGGGTCCACTTTTATAGACTTGACTTGAACTTGATTAACATACCGTGAAAGAAAGCCGGTCTTGAATGAGAAACCAAGTCCTGAATTTAGATTTGTATTGCTCAAATCATGATGATAAATCCAGTCTTCTTTTAATATGTGAAAACCTTCCTTCACTTAATATAGAAATCCCAAATAGATTATATATTGTGAACTACAGACGACAATACATTTATGTCACAAATTGGGTTTTGATGTGATTATGATGAGAAGTTGAAGAGTGCTCTGCTAACTCGTTAAAAGCGGTTTGATTGTAAACACACCCAGATAAAATGGCGGCCAGTCATCCTGTGACTTGTGGCATTATGTCGCAGCCACTGTTTGCTATATACATGTTAGTCTATTGGCTCCCTCTTCACATATTTCTCTTCAAGGCTTCAACGGAGTTTGAGGACCTGATAGCCAGTCTGAACATCTCCAAGGGGAGCCAGCAGGCCCCAACGCCTCCTGCTCCCCCACAAGCACCCACCAGCCAATCAGACGGCCCGTTGTCTCCCCAGTCCTTCGCCATGGTGAGTTCCGCAGACAAAGACCTGCTTAGGATCACTGTGGGCTTCTTAGTAGTGCACAAGTATGGTAGACAAATATTGTGTCATGTCAATTTCAAATGTTTCGTCAACTGAAAGCAGACGTGTGGTTGGGTGTACGTGTGCTTGCTGGACAGTAGATTACACTCCCTAAATATATGTTTAAATGAGGGAACCATTAATAGCCCAAAATGTAGAAAAAGTGCTGTTTGTTCAAACCTCTTCATAAATGTACGCTACAAGGTCAAAAGCTTCTTTCTACTCTTTTTTTTTTTTTTTTTTAATGTTTAAATCTGAATTGTTAGTTTTGAACTTTTTAACAGTCAACCAAAACAAAACCTGACTAATAATTATAATATAATAATAGTAGAATAATGTTCCTCATAATGAATGAATCCTCCATAATGAATCCTCTTCCAGCCGTCACCGTTCACCAGTAGTAATGTCACAGGTGCAGATACGTCGTTGCATTAATGACAATATGGTTAGAATACTGAACTGGAGTTGTTTTTGGTCCGTTTTGGCAGAAAGGAACCCTGATGCTGAAGGAGATGCTAAAGATTGACGGAGCTGGAACAGGAAGTCCGGCCTCCCAGGAGGCAGCCGTCGGCGGAGGCCAGCAGCACAACCGGCGCCGGTCGTCCAAGAAACTCGGTAAGTCACTAATTCCCACACCATGTGTTGGTTTCCAACTTGAGCCGTGTTTTATTTCGGTGTCATTTCCAGCAGCCAATATGAACGCCCCCCACAGTGACGCGGCTGCAGCGGCTTCCCCCTCATTGGCCGGCTCTGCCAACTTGTCCAACGCCGTGCTGACCAGCAAGGTGGCAGAGCTGGCGTGTGTTTGTGCTGGGTTGGGAATGGCTCCACCGGATTTCAGCTACATAGGCAGCAGACAGGTTGGTTGCGTGTGTGTGTGTGTGTTGCACCAAACTCCATAATATCCTAGGTGCCCATTCATGGCGGCGTGCTCAGAGCTCTTTATCAACTCACACCTTCTCAAAACTCCTTTTTATTGCCGACTCAAACCGCTCTAAATCGTCTCCCGATCCGTAGGACAGACACACGGGGGGAAAACATTCATACATCATGAATCTATGAAAAAGCTAACAAAACTGCACACGGCGGATCTTCCCTTCACTGTCGCGGTTATTCTCTACCTTTTTAAAAAAAATATATATATAATATATATATATATCGCATCAACCTCCTATTTACACAAGTATTCTCGACTCAAAACCTAAATAAATATGCCAGTTTGGCAAGACTGAGACGCACACAGCCGCTGCAGAGCATAAACAAAAAGGAGTGTATCTTAAGTTTGAAGTGTAAATAATAAGAAAGTGTGGCTCCATGAAGGGTCCACATCTGCACTCTTCTACAGAAACAGAGCAGTTTTTGTATCTTTTATCCCCCCCCTTCCTCCACAGGGCCAGGCGGTGGTGTGTCAGGTGAAGCTGTCCAACGGGTTGATGGTTCACGGTCCGCAGTGCCAATCAGAAAATGAAGCCAAGGAGAAAGCTGCCTTCTTTGCCCTCCAAAGACTGGTAGGACCCACAGACATGCACGCTCGCACATGCACACACGCTCACACGTGCGCACACACTCACACAGACATGCACTCACAGACAGCAGTGGTAATGGCTGTGACAGCGTGTCTTTGTAATGGTTAGTGGGTGTGAAAGCAGAACCATCTGCTTTCACACCCACTACACGAAACAAATCAGGGGGAAGACTATTTGGTAATAAAAATAAAATAAGAAAAATTATTTCATTTGAATGTTTCTGAATTGTGTAATTCTGTCTCCCAGAGGACAGATAATTTCTGGGACATGTAACCTTCTAGAGATGGGGGGTTTTCTTCATCGTGGTTCATAAATCAGAGCTTTCACCTAATGATGACTAAGTCATGAATACTCGTTCTACTAAGTATCCACTAAATAAATTTGTGCCGGTTCATGAGTGGGCGTCTAAAGTTATTGTCTAATTACCCCTGCAAAACCTTTTTTTATTCGTATATCATACACATAACTATTTAGTGTAGTCGTGTTTTATTTTACGTTGATATTTTAAAACAAACAAGGAAACAAACAATATCAACAATTACAGATTATCACTCGTTCATACATTTCTAAAGGGATTCTGAGTGAACATAACTCGTTATTATAGTCCAGATCTTCAATGAAAGCATCTCTGTGTGTCCTCTTGCTGTCCCATAGAACTCAGTGGGATCTGGCTTCTCCCTCCCACCTCCTCTATTCCCAGGAATGAGTCAGATACGGCCCCCACCCTTAGGACCCATGACGCCCGTCTTCAACCAGCAAGGTCAGATTTCCTCCACTTGCCCATCAGAGGAAAAAGGCTTCCTAATATCTCTTGTCTTACAACAATGTACCTCCCCGCAGGCGGCATGCTGTTGCCTCCCCAGGGGTTTGGCCCTGGCCCGCTGTGGAGAATGCCGCTGCCTCCTCACCACCCCCAGAACCAGCCGTTCTACGGCCCAGCCGGAACCTTCCCCGGGGCCGCCCGTCCGCAGCCTGCTACAGCGCCCATCGGCTCACATAACCAGTTCATTCCGTTACAGGTGGGAGGAATAACTCGTATTGGCAGAACTCATTTGTTAAAATAGCTTGCTGTATGTGTATTATATGTGAGCTGTTCCATCTCAAGTACATTTATTTTCAAGACGTGCTTAAAAAAAATATTAGCAGCGCACAGTTGCACCTCTGAATGTCACATTTGGCCCAAACAGCCAATCGAATCAGGGAAAGAAGCTGCCACTGATTTCCTGTTTTGGCATCGGTGGATGTATTGGGGTTAGCTGGCTGTTAGCATTGAGGAATCCATGGAGTAGGTAGAGTGTGTTTCGGGAAATTAATGAGCGAGAGAGATCGCTATAGAAACGCATCTCTGATTCAACGGCCCTTAACGTCGTGGTCATGGTAACCCACCATTTTCCTTCTGTCCTCCGGCCCAAACAGGTGACGAAGAAGCGAGTCTCTACGAGCAAAAAAGGCCAGGACACCCGAGAGTTCTACAGCGCCGCCCACACAGTATCCAGGAACCAGACACAGAAGGCCCAGCACCAGCCGCTGGCTCCGGTTGACCCCCATGGCGCTAAACACAACCAGCCACACCAGTACTCCGCCAACAGCAACCAAACCCCGGGCAGTCCTGGCTCAGTGGGCGCTGCTTCCACAACAGCTGCCCTGCACACGCCCCCTCGGCAAAACGTGCCAGTGACAGGCCACACCCCCGGCTCCTCCTCCAAGAGGAAGCACAGGAAGCTGGCTGTCAACTTTGAGGCTGCTAAAGTCTCTGAGTGATGAAGTGTGTGTGTGTGTGTGTGTGTGTGTGTGTGTGTGTGTGTGTGTGTGTGTGTGTGTGTGTGTGTGTGTGTGTTGTTTTAAAGCCTAACTGCATCTCTGATTGAAAAGTTGCGGATTAAATTTTCTTTAATATGTTGTGACCATAAGTAACTCAGTTCACTTTGACTCCAAACACCAGATTAAAGTATCAGACGACACAACGGGTCGTCGAGGGGACATGGCCATCAAAGTGTTACGTTGCCTACAAGGCGCTGGTGTGTTTGCAAGAGTGGGGTGCATTCTGGGATGGAAGAGATGGCGCTTATCAATGAAGGCCAGTTTTCTGTGTTTGGAGTCTCTGCTGTTGCCTTAGTTTCTGATGGATGGAGCTCCCTCCGTCCCACTGCGGGTGTGCGGTGGAGCTTAGATCGATGGGTCCTGGCTCCTTTCTCTGCAACAGAGACTACTTCCTGCTTCAGCTAGTTTGGCCTCATGCGATGTTGCGTTTAGTTTTTGTCTGTGGGTCGGTGTATCAATTATGCATAAAATGGGGCCTTCTATCATGGCTGTGCTCGTAAAAACTGCTCCGTTTGTAGAAGAGAAACGTGCTTTGTGGTTTGGATCAGTGGTGTCATCATGCCAGCGTTATTTTAATGTCACCTTTGGTTTGTTCTCCCCCTCATTTCGCATCATGCTCGATGGCTTTGTCTTTCCTTCAGACTTTCAATGCCTCGTAGTGGATTTTCTGTACACTTTTCTGTTTTTTTTTTTATGGTTTGATGACTTAATAAATGAAATGCCACCGCTGCACATATTGCAGAATTATCACATGGAAAATAATACACACACACACACTACATGCACTGATGTTGTTTTTCACCGGCACATGGACTCCAGAACTACCTAAAGTGTTGAAATTTTATAAACTGGAGCTTGTGAGGGAGTCCTTTATCTTTTAATTGTGTTGTCGTTTACGAACTCGATGAGTTCTGCCGTACTTATGGGAAAGAATTCCTATGCAGCTGATCTTTGATGACCTTTAACCTCAAGTCATAGCTCTAAGGCGCTGCCACTAGATTAGTTATTTTCTATCTAAGTTGAGAGCAATATAACGGTGCCATGTGATGGGGACTGATATATTCCAGACGGACAGAAGGTGGCGGGTGAGCGCGACTTGTCAGACATGCAGGCGTCAGCGTTTTGGATGATTTTCTAAAGCTGCTCTGCTCATTTTGAAATTCTCTGCTTTATTGCACATCTGTGTACATCTTTACACACGCATGTAGAATTGATACATTTTACGTTTTCTTTTCTGACCTAGGTTTTATGGATTTCCCTTTTATGGTGTTTGTGTGTTTTGTGTGTCGGCAGCGGTTGTGACTAGTCAAGTGTCTTTAGCTTGTCCTTGTTTTAAAGAAACTGCATCTTTTTAACATGAGCATCTTTTAAAAATGTTTGGAAATTCAAGCACACCTGTTGGATATAGTTTTTCTTTTTTTTTGGAGGAGGGGGGGGCTACATGAAACAAATTAGATAATTCTCAATATGAAGACAAAATGACTTGCTGTTTTGATCCAGGAATGTGCTGTACATATCCATTTAATAAAGTCAATTTTTTGTTACAGCGTGGTTGCTTCTTTATGACCGCACACACGTAGAATAATAAGTGCCGGTGGATTCTGAATGCATGTCTTCAGTCTGTACAGTATTAACAGCGCTTCACTCTTTCCATACTTTACAGGCTGATTCCAAAGTGGTTTGAATTCCATTTTTCCCTCAAAATTCTACACATATGCTCCCGTAATGACAAACCCAACCTGAGAAGAATTGGAGAAATATAGCATCATACCCCAAAAGATTTGAGGCTGTAAAACAAAGTGTTTATACATCAGTTAATTTCTTCTACATGCTCCTTTTGGGGTATTGTGTAGAATTTGTGAACAGTTGTTGCAGTGCTGCTTTCGGACTTATTTTTATGAGATGCATTATTGAATTGTTAATGTTCATGGGGCTATCGTTTTTTTGACCGGTTCTTCTCGACTGTTTGCAAATATTCATATTCATGTAATATTTAGCAAAGTTTTATAGATCATTCTTTCCGCCTTTAACAGATAATGGTGCTTTGACTTACATGGAATTTGTTTTGTGTCTTTTGTCCAAGAGACCATACAATGACATTTTCTAACTTTTTGAAATTTAAACTGGCTCAAGTACATTAGCGTTACTTTTAAAGGACTTTCTGTGATCATTTGACTTTTTTTTCATGACTTCTGGTTTTGGCATTGATTTGTTTTCGCCATACCATTCATTTTTTTGTATTTTACCACCAGTTTCTAAATACACATTCATATTATAACTATTTAATACAATTTTATTTCACATAATAGGACATGAGTTATTCAACATAATATCCTATTTTTAGAATTCTAATTAACCTGTATTTTAAAATAATGACTTTTCTCTGGACCCTTTTAGGACTATATGGTCCGTATGTATCTACAGTTCTTCGTATTGGTTGTAGCAATGGGTTTTTTTCTTGAAAACATTTTTATGATGTAATTACTGATGATCCGTGACAGTGATTGGCCACCGGTGAACATTATTTGACTTTTCAAATAACTTGTGACATATGAATTGTTCTTAACGAGCATCAGTTTATTAAACAACATCTAATTTGTCTCAGGAATTCTTGCTGTACTGTCATACCAAAACTAATCAACAAACTGAACATTACACCTGATTTAGCTAAACCTCACGGTGACCGAGGAAAAGAGTCAATGGGATTCATCCTGCGGGCATCACAAATGTAGTAAATGATACAATTCACGAAATCGATGAAATATTTATGACTGATCCTGCACATGTGTAAACTATAATACACTACAGAGCCCAAACCGCCTTCATCTTCTGGATGTGGACCTTGGACGACCTGGCGAAAGTGCTTTTAACCACGTTGAGAGGAGCTGCCTTTCCGCTGAGGTAGACCTTATTGAGACATGTAGGAAGCCACGCCTCCTCCTGCTGCTGCTGCTTCTCCTTGTCCACCACTTCCTGCTGCTGCTTCTCCTTGTCCACCACTTCCTGCTGCTGCTTCTCCTTGTCCACCACTTCCTGCTGCTGCTTCTCCTTGTCCACCACTTCCTGCTGCTGCTCCTTCTCTACAGGTCCCACTCCGTCCTTCTTGATCATGGTGCATGAGTGGGCAAAGATGTATCCCGTCATGTAGGCATCGAAGCCGGCGCGGTGCGTTCCCGGGTCAGCCTTGGAAGTGTTGGTGTTAGCTTGTTGGTTGCTAAGCGCCCCCGTCTCTCTGGCTTCCTCTCGGCTCTCCTTTGTGTTGCTTGTTGCTGTGTTCGTCTCGCCATCGGTCGGCGCTTCAGCTGCTGCAGGATTTTTGTGGTCAGGGTTGTTCTCAGAGACTTGGTTCCCCTCATCGTCCGCTTTCATGTCGCCGTCTTCCTTCTGAGAGTTGTCTCTTTCAGGGCCCAGCGCGGCTGGTGCGTCTCCTGAGTCCAACTCCATGTGGGGGATTTTGTGGTCAGGAGCACCGTCACAGACGGCGCCGCCGTTCTCTGCCTCACCCCGACCTCTCTTCTTGTTTCTGATCCGCTTCTTCTTCTTCTTCTTGTCCCCCGCGCCCTTCTCGTCCTGGAGGATGATCAGGTCGGTGTCGTGGGATGACGGACACTGGGCTCCGTTTGGGCACCAGCCAAACGCCTGGGAGACAAACGGACATCTGATTAAAAAGACGTCTAATTCACACGCAGGACGGGTCTGAACTGAAACCGTTTCATAAACTTTTTTTTCGACTTTAGACTCAGTGAAGCTGATCTCAAATAAAAAGGTTTTCACTCACAGAGAAGCGCTCGCAGATGTCCGTCTGTCCCTCAGCAGAGGACACATCTTGACACGTTCTGTAGTCCACATAGCTGGACAAGTGACCTGCGTACTGACAGAACTCGACGTGTACGTGCGGCACGGCGCCTCCAGAGGTCACGATGCGACTGTTGTCCAGCTTACTGGAAGGAAGAGGAGACCACGGGGGGCAAGTCATTCTTACTAGGGCTGTCAAAAGTGACGTTTGAATATTCGCTTTAAAAAAAAATCTCTCAACAATAAACAAATGCAGAGTGATGATCAAGAGTTTTGTGCAAGAAATTTAAGGTTGCGATTCTTGTCCCAAAGATGTCAGGCTTCATTCCGTGATTGAAACTGTAAAACCTTCAGTTACTGAAGGTTTTACAGTACCGACATTGAACGATCCGAGCGAGCTGTGCTGTAAACACAGAACTTTTCCTTGGCATGAAACGGCAAATAATCCAACCCGTGCATTGCATTTTATTCATGCAATATAGTCAGTACAGGTGCTAACTAATTGCTCCCCGGGCAAAAATGTGAAAAAGCCATGGGTTTAAAGTGTAATGTAAGTCGCTTCGGATAAAAGCGTCTGCTAAATGACCTGTAATGTAATGTAATAATATTCTAATATAGAATATTCATTGACAGCCCTAATTCTTACACTCCCAATATCCACACAAATGAGTCCTGATATGGATCTTCTGTTAGAACAACAAGTGTGTGTTTATAGTCAATATCTATTAACCATACTCACCATTTCTTGAAGGCATACTCCAGATAGGAGGCGGGAAGCCGGAGCTCAAATTCGGTGACGTACTTGGTGTCGTAGATTCCAGCAGGAAACATCTCGGAAAGGTCGGCGGTGAAGGTCGCCAAGCGATCGGGCAGATTCGCGTAAAAACTCTGGCAGAAGATATTGCAGTAAGATAATTATTAATAAGAGCTGCGTGCTGTGAAAGAGGTATGAATGAAAGTTGGTCATTCATTTCATCAGTGAGTAATCTGATGTTAATCTGTCCTTGATTGTTTCCTCTATTAACATAAAAATCACATCGGCATTTAAACAATGATGTAAACTGAAGTTAAGCAGTGAATCCTTAAACTGGGGGAGCAGGAACCAGAAAAACATCTTTGAAATGAAACCCATTAGAAGAGAGAAGTGATGAAGGTGAGCAGCAAACAAGTGGTGGTACCTGGTACAGGAAGGCCATGTCGATGAGGCCGTTGTGGAGCACCAGGGCCTTCCTGGCTCGCAGCACCTCGGTGAACAAGGCCCGCATGTGGACCCCCTGCTCCTCTGAGGTCCCCTGAAGGACAACCCAAGGGCCAGAAATCAAATGTCATCACCTGAGGGGGTGATGGGAACTCTGGGAGTGCCCAGTTCTGTCGATTAATGTCATGCCCTCAATATGTGTATCAGCATCTTGGCTTCTAACTTAATGGATACACACCAATTTTGCGTTGTTCTGCCTGACGTGGCAGGTTGCTATGGAACGTACCCTAGCAGCAGGCACATTTTGTTGCTTGCGTGATATATTTTTGAATTAGTTGGCCCTTTATTTACCTGCCACTAAGCAACCGTGACTAAACACAGTCCAACGTTTTGTGAGAGATGCTCAAAGTGTAAAGGACTGTAGCCTGTGCAGACAGTTTATCCTGAATGCACTGCATCATTCTCTGAAACTCCAGAGGGCGAACAAAGTCAACTGTGAAAAAAACGACCGCCAGAATGACGAGGGGTTGTAAGTATCTAATCTTCTAGCTCATATTCATAGACTACTTATTGCCTCAGTACAAGCCCTGTAAACAAAGAGGTGTCATAAGCATTACAATGTCACAAAAGGTTGAATATTCTGTAAACTATTTGGTTTGGCTGTGCATCGGCCCAAACAACACCCCAAAACTGTTAAGATTATTGGACAAAAAATTACAGCCTCTCGTACCTTATGTATGTGGGCGCATACGTCCCGGCTAACAAACCAATCAGATGGCTTGATTTCAAATGACTGATTTATATAAGAGAAGTAGCAGGACAACAAAGAACAGCATGTGAGTGTCATCACCTTGCCATTGCCCTTGAGGTAAGGGATTCCACTGGCGTACTGCTTGTTAAAGTCAAAGCCGTGCTGGACCAGGAACTTGACTGACTGGGGCTCTATCATGTACTCCTCTGAACACAGCAGGGTGAGGTTGTACACCTGGACCAGGTATGTGTGCGCAGCCTGGGGGAAGGAAGAGGCACACGATACGTGACATGATGACATGTGATGACGATGAGGGAGACGGATCATCAGATGAATATAAACATAGCTTGGTGCATTTAGAGAAGCCATCGTCTTATGGCACCTTGTCGTCTAGCTTCTTGTAACAGGCGATTCCAAGTGAGAGGATGGAGCGAGAGCGAGCAGCGCTGCATATGGCTTTGTATCGGTCCTCTATGGATCTGAAACATGACAGAGAGGCTCGATGAGTGGGAGTCAGGAGGAGGTGCAGAAGGGAGGACAGAGGGGTTTACTTACTCGGCCAGCAAGGACTTCCTGTTTCCAAGACCACTTAGCTCCTACACAACATGTAGAAACAAGTCGTGTGACATTACAAAAACAGACTGTCAGACGATGACACACGTGACCTAGGTTGTAAGTGACCTTCCATCAGGACTGTTCTGATAGTTTTCTAATTATATTGTAAGATGATATTTTGCGTCAGGAACAATGGAAACAACAGGGTCAAACTATGGTTTTTGAAACTACATAATTCCACCCACTTAAGGGTCGAATTTAACTCAGTTAGTTACACGCTGGTTGGACGGACACACACTGGCACTTACCGTGTCCAGCGCAAGGAAGGAAGCCGTTTTAATGGCCACCACCATGGCGGGCCAAAGCTCTCTGAAGTTATCATTCTGGACATCAATAACGGGGACGACCAGTGAAGACACCATGTTTGTCTCAACTTTAGTAAATGAGCGTAAACGGCTTATTCTCGCCTGAATAGTTCTCTGCAATTTACGTTAACGTCGGTTCTCTTGAATTTAGCTAGCTTCATTTGATACCTTTCCAGGGGGCTGCTCTGTGTACCGCTCTGTATTGATGCTTGCTTGTTATATCATATTAATTTTTCGATTACCGCAGTTTAATGATTTTAAACAATATCGGGTCGACAGCGAATGGCGCTCCAGTCCACAGTAAACATTTCAACGTGGTTCCCGCGGTCCTCTGAACATAAACCTATGGTAGTCGATATTTCGCCTGAGAATAAACAATAAATTGTTGCTACAAATTGTATGCTGTTGATTTGATAATTAAATATTACCTATGTTCAACCTAAATTATTTATTTTTCTTAAAACCTCCATTTCTTTATTCTGTTTTTTAACGTTTCAAAAATAATACCAAACCGGCGTTCACCACAAGCGCACGTAAACACTGTCCTTACGTCACTGTACTTTACTGTCGAGGTGAGTCGCGCCATTTTGGCTCAAACAAAGTCAGAAACATTCATTCGTCGATAAGTATTTTAAATTGTATCCACACGATACAATGTACGAGTATTCAAGACATAGCTCTGGTTTCCATCAGTTTTAATTAATGCTAATGTGACTTTTTTTACACTCCGTAACTGACGTCGGGCAGCTAAAAGTAACGTTTAAGATTAAAAAGCTCCGTTTAGGTGCATTACCAGCCAAGCTATCTGGACTCTTTGCTAGATTTATCTTTGCTGTCGCTCTAAGCTCCGCGATGGGTGGCTGCTCTGCTCCGAACTGCTCCAATTCCACCAGCATCGGTAAGCAGCTGTTCAGGTTCCCCAAAGACCCTGTCCGCAAGAAGAAATGGGTGGTGAACTGTCGACGTGACTTTGAGCCGACTCCTCACTCCAGACTCTGCCAGGTAGCCTCAGAGCTCCACAGCTTAATAACAACATCAATTCAACGTTCACCTGCACGTGACTTTAATTCTAACTAGCACCCACGTTATGCATGATCTTTTCTTTTTGTGCGTGCATTATTATTTGGATGAAATGCATGTGTCTCCCTGTCTCGTTCCCATAAGGACCACTTTGAGCAGAGCCAGTTCGAGGAGATAGCGAGGTCTCCCGCCGGGGGTAAGAAGCTGAAGCCGAATGCCATTCCCACTGTGTTCACCGCTGGAGACCCTCCTTACCCCGCGGTCACTATTCCCTACATCCTGCTGCCCATGAAACCCGAACCAGGTAAATGCAAGTTGATGGCAATGTTCAAACCGTACGTAATGGATGAATCATATCGCACTCGCTGGTGTGGCACATTTGCACAAAATACAGGAAATACAACTTTATTGTTGCTCTGTGTTTGCAGTGGAGAAGGAGCTGACCTTCGGGGACCATGGCTATGCCAGACGCACCCCTCTGCCTGGCCTGGAGGAGGAGGAGGAGGCCGACGGGACTGCAGAGGACCAGCAGCCCTGCACACAGTGTCACCTGCTCAAGAAGCAGCTGGAGCAGGAGATGCAGCACACTGCCCGGCTCCAGAAGGAGGTCTCTCTTTGCCCAAATGAATGTGTCGTAGTTGTTGTTTTTTCTTCGAAGGGCCAATGTGACTGTTGATTTTGATGGTGGCAGCCTGGGTAAACATGTTTTTTCTTCCCTGTCAGGCAGAGGAGATGAAGAAGCGCCTGTATCGACTCAACCGGATCGAGAAGGGTCTCCAGAACTTTCTGTTTGAGGACCAGATTCGCGCGCTGTCCCTCACCAAACGCTCGCGGCGCGCCGTCTGGTCTCCAGAGACCATCCTGAAGGCCCGAAAGATCCGCTGTGCAGTTGGCACGAAGGGCTACGAGTACTTAAGGGAGCTGGGGTACCCTCTGCCCTCCTATAGAACACTGTGTAACCGCCTGGAGACTAAGATCATGGTAACCACTGACATGAGCTGTGAGGAGCTGGCGGAGCTGAGCCTTGGCCTCATGGCCACCTGTACCAGTCCCACTGACGCCGTCGGGGACAACGATGAGGAGGAACTGATAGGCGTGTTGTCCTGATTGCGGCAGTTTTGCACAACTCTCTGACTCCAACCAGGAATGTGCAGCGTTTGGGCGTATTATGCTTCTAATCTCCCGATCTGCACCACTAAGATCTAAATTCGCTCAATTCACGCAAGATGCTGGGGCTCTCAGTCAGTCGGGCTTTGTGATCGAGGTGTTTCTGACCATGATGGCGATGCTAAGCTACTGTGTGCGAGGAGAAGGCGACCATGAGCTGTGTGGAACGGATAGACATGTTTTGCACAAAGCGCTTTGACTTTGATTCATGTGTTCACAGGTATTTTAACATGTTTAAACTGAAGGTGTTTACATGCACAATAAAACCCTGGTAGTATGTAGTATACTATATATATATATATATATATATATACGCACATACATAATATACATACATGTGTCCTGGGTTAGGTAGGTTCAGTATTCCCATATTATGAGGACGATGGCATGTATCAGTTTCCTGTTCATAATTATTTATCATTTCATGGTGTGTGTAAAGCAAGAGCACACAACCGGGAGAAAAGTTGGTGTCTAGAAAGATGTTTTCTTTTAAACATAAGCCGGTGGTTTTAAACTATGCTGTTTTACTGAACTTCTTCTATGAGCAATTCAAATGCTGACAGGAATATTAGTAATAATATCCTCAATTCATGAAGCCTATTAAATTCATGTTTGCAAAACTGAAACTGTATCCTGTTTGTCGGTGAGGAATCCAATCACTTATTGGGGAGTACACTTCATTATAGAGTCAACATGACAAAGTGATCCCTTTGTAGGTATTCACCTACTGGTAGTGTGATTCTACCTGAGAGGAATCTCTGGCTTGCAGTGCAGTTGTAATCACCACAAAGCAGCTCACATGACAATTAATATCCAGAGTAGCCATGAGAAGAAAATAAAGTGGTTGTGCAGAATGATCTGTGTTCTTCATATTGTCTGCATGTGTGAGAGAGACACTACATATGAGGTAACAAACATGGCTGCCATCACTGTGCTGGTTACATCACAACTGTCATGGGCCCCTCCGACTGCTCTACTAACGGAAGAAACAAGCCCCCATCTCAAGGCCCCTTAAATTCCTCTGAAGTAACGGATGTGTCGGATGCAGAGCTGCTATCTGGGTCATCTTCACCCTGTGGAAGCCGACGGCAGGGGGGGACGTTTGCTCAGGTCGGACTTTGAGCGATTCACTCTTCACTCAATTTGATATGGTTTGGCGCTTAGCTTCTTACTTGAGCTGAACTGAGTAGAAAGACCAACGTAAAAAGTTTCGGTAGATGTTTTTGTACCGGCTCTGCTCCCCGGGACACCAGTTCAGGGCCGTTTCCTCTGAGGGTCTCCTGGTCGTGCTGATCGTCATTGAGTTCGGCCTCCCGCCTGTTCCAAAAGTGCGACCATGGTTCTGTTTGTCACACGGTGGCGTTCAGCCCTCGAAGCCAATAAAGTAAAGCAAATACACTCAAGCATTCGGATCAATATGAGAGTTCTTTGGATGGTAAACAGGACTGGAGAGCCTGCGCTCGCTCCGTAGGGGCATTATATTCCATTTGGCATTTTTACCGCGGTTTGCACTTGGCGTTGTAAGCTGCGAGGCCCCAGATCAGTCCCCGCCATTGAGAGGCAATGTTCTACCCAGCACATGTATTGTCATGTGTGTCCCCCTTTTCCTGCTGGAAATGAAAAGAAGGTGGAAAAAGGCCTGATGGTATTACATAGTATGTGGTATTAGATTTGATGCTCTTCAGATTACACTAAGAATGTGAAATGTTTACAGACACTAGGTCTCTCTCTCTCTCTCTCTCCCTCCCCTCTTGTTTGATTTAAGGGGAGTGCTCCCCCCACTCCGGCTTTATAAACAGCAGGGCTTGACGCTCTGTTTATGTGGGGCACAGGAGAGAGAGTGGACAGTGGTAAGTTCGGACAGCAGTTTTCTTTGATATTTATTAACTCATCGGAGTCCCAGTTTTTTTATCCTGAAATGGATATTATTAAAATTGCCAACCTATCGTATTAGATTTTTCTGCACTAGGGGGGTAATTAGCTGTTTTCTGAAGCGACTTACAGGTCATTCATTTTTTACGTTTGTTAGGGATGATGTGAACTCAGCAGGCGGTTTCTGCGTACAAAGGCCGTCCCTCCCTGTTGGTAAAACTGTTGTTTTCTTCCAGGCAGCGAGCGGCTTATTGAGATTAAACATGCAGTTGTCTCTAGACGGTCCTGTCCGGCCCGTTTGCAGACATTCTTCTGTCTGTTCAGGCTGTGTACCCCATAATAAAAACTCTTTCTGCCGATTATTTCCACATGCGATGAGAGAGACAATAAGGGAATCATTTGGCTCAGGGCAAAGGGAAACGCTGCCAAAGGTTGAGTTTGCTTTCCTTCATCACTGTGCACGTGCTGCTCTGCGCCGTAGCTCACCGACTGCTTTGGTGATTTTCTTTGGGTTAAAGTTTGGTCGGTGTCTTAAAGGCCCTTATGTGTACAAAGGTATACTTCTCTCTCTCTTTCGTCCGGTAGCTTGGGTGCAGCCTGCCAGGGGGAGGGACAATGAGCGCTGTCTCGTTGCTGTACGCCGCCCTGCCAGGTCTGCTCTGGGCCTCGCATGTCAGCCTGCTTGTGGAGGGGGACAATGACGCCTCCAGGATCTGCAAGCCGGCCCCCCACTGGACGATAAAGGAGCGCGCACCCATGCAAGAGCTGCTGGGAAATGTGGTCGTGGTGGCGCTTCTCAAGGCCAGCTGACAGTTCTGTCTCACTCAGGCCTCCAAGTAAGGACACGGTCTCACAGAGACCTTTTGAACCAAGTGTCCTTTTGAATTAGTAAGATCATTAAGTCACAAGTTGTAGACATAATTTTTCTGTTTTTCCATATTTCCATTATCGCTTATTTAGTGAGTGTGCCGCTGTACGATGTGTTAACAGTTTCACCCCATCAGCCTTTCTTCTTACTTTAACTGTCTCTCTCTCCCTGAAGGATCGGAGGCCTGCGTGACAAGCTGAACCGCAGCAACCTGACAGACGTGTCTTTTATGATAGTGAATGAGCGCGAGCCTCACTCCAGAGCCATGTACTGGGAGCTGAAGAGGAGAGCGCCCCCTGGTGTCCCCGTCTACCAGCAGGCTGCCCTTCAGAGTGATGTGTGGGAGGCCCTGGATGGGGACAAAGACGACTTCCTGGTCTACGACAGGTGAGGTCTCTTCAACACACACAGAAACCATGTCCTCTGTTTATGCATTAGGAAGGTTTTGAGCTTCGAATGAGATCAAATATGCTGAACTATGTACTTGATGTTAAAAGTGGACAAAGTCACTGTGATGTTTCGATCTCTGGAGTTCTGTGTTTTTCCGCCTTTTGCCATCTTGTTCCTCACAACCAGATGTCACATGAGAGAGTGGAGCTATTTACAACCAAACGCTGAACGAAACATCTGTTGGCGGCCCAAATCAAACCGTTACTTTTTTATAAAGTGAAAACACTCTTTGAAAAGGTTAAAGTTCAAAGACAAAGACCCAGACAACTCCCAGAATGTCATAGCAACCTGTCGATCACAGTGAGCGCAAAGCTAAATCCAAACCTGCTTCATGGTCTGTGTGCGACCATCATTTACCAAGAAGACTTGAAAGATTGAGACCATAAAGTTTGTTTTGCATTTTTTTTGCAACCAGATAGGTCGCCCCCAGATGGCCATCAGAGAGAATGCAGCTGTTTTGAGAATACACATATTGTCAATCATCAAGTTCTGGATTATATCAGGGTTCAATATTGTTTTTAACAAAAAAAAGTGTGTTAAAAATATTGTAATATTCTTCAAATGTGCTCTGAACGTGCATCAGTGTGACTCAGTGTGAAAATAAGGACCATTACATTGCAGTGACTCCCATCAACATTTGGATTCTCTCTCTTTTTCTCCAGGTGCGGTTTGCTCACCTTCCACATTGTGCTGCCGTACAGTTTCCTGCATAACGTCTATGTAGAGGCTGCAATCAGAGCTACTTATCTTAAAAACATCTGTAATTGCACTGTGAGTAACCACAACACACACACACACACACACACACACATGTACACACGCAAATACTTACCATGCACACAAAAGGCTGTGAATAGTAAAACTCATTCACTCAAGTGATTTTCAGTGTTTAGAAGTCACTCATACGTACCCCGTTTAAATCAAGCTGCACTAAAAAAATCATTTTTGTATTCATGATGGGAAAAATTACTTTGTATACTGTGATGGAACAGTACAACAGCAGTACAACTCCAAATTAATTGTTTAACCTTGCATCAAGTCTGCTGGATGTAAATAGGTTATTGTAATAGGGACTTGACGGCATGATGAAATGTTGTTCTGCTTCCCCCTCGTGGCTGAAATACGATCTAATTTCAAGAATGAATAAACATGAATGTGATCTTTCGCAGGTGGATTCTGTTGTATCAAGTTTAAACAATAGCGTCATGAACAACGAGACAGACTTTAATGTCAGCCAGACCAATGCAACACCCAGAATTCAACCGGACACAAACGATCCAGAGGGGGCCGGGACACCTCCTCCACCGACTCATCACCACAGCCATCATCATCATCATCATCATCAACATCATCATCCTCATCATCCTCATCATGCTCACCTGAATCAACCTCTGCATGATACGAGTCAGAATATAACTCGTCATCCTCTCAGTGTCCACCACCACCACCACCCTCATCATCATCATCAGCAGCAGCAGCAGCCTGGCAACCACAGTGGGACGGCGGTGGATCATTAGGAAGTGTTTGGAGCAGTGTTTGGAGCTGCATCTCTTTGAGCAGCATTGCGATTGGGGTTTCGTCTGAGAGCACCTCCACGCCTCAGTCCTCAGCCTGGGTGACGTAGCCGGTGCTTCCCCATCTACTCTCATTAATGAAGTCCATGGTGTGAAACCTGCCCGCAGGACGCTGTGGACGGATGTGTGTGTGTGGAGAGAAGGGGCGTGCTGGTTATGGTCACCCAGACGGAGTGAGAGGGTGGTGTGCGCTGCTAGCGAGCCCCGGTCACTTTACTACCCCAATGTTCTTCTGTCCATCCTGTGACACTGTGCTAATAATAATAATAATATTAATACCTTTTTACTTGTAATTTCCTAAATGCATGTTTTAACGGTGGCAGAATAAATTAGATTAGTATCCAATTAATTATTAGAGGCTATAAATTGCCCCGGCAAGCCCATTCTTCACTTGTTCTTCAAATGTAGTAATACTGGGTTGAAATACCCCACGTTACTACGTTAGATCAAATTAGCATATTTGCTGTGGATTTAAAACTTTTCTGAATGTAGATGTTACCTCTAGATTGTTGTTCTCCATTAAAAGGGAAAATACATTTGATGCAACGTGTCTCATCCCTCTCTGAGAGCGGTGTGGTCCCTCTACGTCCCACGTACCTGGAGATGGGAGGTAATCTTGTCCTCAACAGGTCAGGCCTAGGGACTGCAGGGTCAGATACAAATACAAAAGGGCTGGAACTCAAACGATTGAGACTTGTAGTATCTTTTGACACACATGTGTGGAAATGGGCTGAGGAGGGGACAGTGGGTTTGCGGGTGAGAGGGGATCAAACATGGTGTCCTGATAGCAGCAGGGATGACGGCTAACAGTGATCCGATTCCACAATAGAGAGACTAAAACTAGGATTGCCAATCTTGAGAGACTATCAGGGGTTTGCTACATTTAAATAACAAAATCAAAACCCTGCCCAGTGTAAACCTAAATAAACCCCATGATGGGTCAACAAGGATTGTGCGGCCTCTGGACAGACCCCAGTGAGCTGTTTCCTGTCCTGTCTTTATGTACTCACTTTTTCTCCTATAAAAACCCCAAAACCTGGACAAATTATATATATATATAATAGTTACAATAGCACATTGTGCTTTCTGAATACGACTGAAGGGTTTTAGCTGCACGGCAGGCACCTGACATGCTGTCCTAGGATAAAGGACCGCTCTGCCATATGTCCATCTGGACACACACACACACACACACACACACTTAGAGCAGGTGGATTATCTCAGTGTTGCTTAACACATGGCTGAGTTGCAGCATGCTTTGACAGACGAGGGCTGTGGAGGAACATTTGAAAACAAACACAATGAAGGTAAGGATGTGGTGATTCGTGCAGTTCTTTAGGACAGACAACTGACAGTTCAATTGTTTTTATGAGTCCTTCATTTATGATTGAATGTACTCATATGTCTTTCCAAGTGTATATTTATACATGAGAGCAACTGTAGCATACTAGTTTCCTCTGGCGATCAACAAAGTGTTGTGATTCTCTTTGGGCTAAACCAGATTAAAAGGAACCGTGTTATATCAGCTACGCAGCTCTTGTTAAGTATTGCAGACTGCCATTACCATTCATTTGCATGTGCGTTGTCTGTATTGGGGAACATGGGTAAACCTGAGCTGGCCGTAGCAGAGCTTTGTGGGGGATGTTACTCTCCACGTCCCAGTGAGGAGGCCAAACCACTCATCCCTGTCCTCACGGCCAACAAAGTCATTAGTGCTTTCACAGTTATTGGTTAGATGCTCGGGTGGAAAATAACTTTTAATACTTCATCTTTCAGAAGACCCTGTCTCACACATTGGTGGAAGAACAGTGGAGATGAAATGATGAAGCAGGTTCTACGTAGAGGTTAGGAATAGGTTCCTGCTTGCTTAATTAGGAGTTACAAAATGACAGGACGTGTGTGTATGATTTATTTATTGTGGTGTTTTTTTATTAAATAAAAAGGGAATCAGACATTCATAAGTATAACCAGCTGAGAATAAGAATGCATGTATTTGGTTACCTTAGAACAAGCCTTTCACATGTCTACAGGGGGAGCAAGTCTCGACCAGCATTCTCCATTCCTAAAAACGATGGGTCTCTTATGGGTGAATCTTCCTAAATCACACCGTTCCCCCAGTGAAACCCTCACTATTCTGCTTACCAAACAAATGATTAAAATGTATCGACTCAAGTGTTTAAATCTAGCAGCTGTTTGCATCTAAATGCTTTAGTTTTATCCTCAGCACTGCCAGTATTTTACTTTGGTGCAGAAATACTAGATCTGTTCATTATTGAGTATTTCATCAGATTCTAGTTTACGAAACTGCAGCAAGTTAAAACCTTAAATCCTAAATAGCATTCAAAACATAACAATTAAAAAAGTTTAAAACTTTGAATTAACACCTCAGATATGATGTTTTATAAGGAAGATGTAAGAAGACAAAGGAAGATGAGGACAGGAAGTAGCTGACCTGCTGTGTACAGAGCTTCCATCTGCAAACACTAGATGGCAGCACTGTCCTGGGTCTAACATCACCCTGTCCTTCTCATTAGGCAGCCATTCATCAAGGGGATTATTAGTTATTATCCATTATCAAGAGATGCATTTGGATTAGTCAACATAATCCTCGCATTGTAATCCAGATGATCTCTGGGTGGTTTAATGAAATTTGCAGAGGGGTGCTATTCTTTATGTGAGACCTTTCAGAGGAGGAGAAATATTATACAAATTTGAAAATAACACTAAAATGCCATTGCTGGTTACCTTAATAGCAAAAGTTGATAAAAGAAGAATTAATTTAATACCATTTTATGAACCTTAAATAATCAAACTCCATTGTGCTTGAGCAAGGCTGTCAAATGTATTTTGTGAATAAATGTCCAACATCTGGCCTGGAGGGAGATTACCAGATGTAATTTTTCAACGCAGCGTTGTAGTTTAAGTGCTTCTACCTAATGAACGTTTCTTCCGCTCATGTGTATCCATGTCAGGGGGTTCCGGCACTCACTATTTGGCAGAAATTGAAATTATTCTACGAAGGGGTCTTAAGAAATGGAGGCAAGTCTTTATGTTGCACGTCATCAATATTTTAGTGATGTATAGTTATTTATGGCAGACACAGTCTGTGCTTATTTCATCCTTGTCCCTTGCTGTCTCTTTGTCTAGACAAGAGGACAGACAGTTGGCTGCTGGTCTACTCGCCTGTGCCAATCAGCTTCATCTTCCTGTGGTACCTGGTCATCATATGGGTGGGGCCAAAGCTGATGGAGAAGAGGCAGCCAGTCAACCTTAAGCCTGTCCTAATAGTTTACAACTTTGCCATGGTCTGCCTGTCGGCGTACATGTTCTATGAGGTATCACTGTCTGTGGGGGGGATATACATGTATGGGGTGGGTAGGTATGGGTTTTTAAATGTTATTCTAATGTTTGCATTTCGGAAACAGCTGCCGGCATGCGGAATGTAAAGAATCAATTGATTCCGCTAATACCAGAACTCTCTGAGCCGGTATGGAAGTTAAAGAAGCAATAAGAAACACAACACAAACAGGTGCAAGAACATGCAAATATCTCATCATTTTTCATTAAAGCCAATGGGCTTGTGACACACACAACGTTTTGGGTTGGCTCTCACGCCTCTCACTGCTCTCACAACTCCATATTTGCTTGCAGCTGGCGGCTGTTTTCCAGGAGAATACTAAAAAACGACTGTACATGCGGTTCACGAAGTTGTCTGTGCGTCAACGAAACAGGAAACTGATTTCGCTTACTAACAACAGGCAACATCTGTGGGAAAAATGCAATGATTTAGAGAAAGCGGCTTTTGTCTTCCCAGTTTACAGCCTCTGCCTGGTTGGCCAGATACAGTCTGCTGTGCCAGCCGGTCGACTACAGTGACAGCCCACTGGCCACAAGGGTATGAGATTTTATTAAACCACACTGCATGAAACTATTTCTAAATAAACCTCCACTCTGGAGAAATGATCTGTCATAGCACCTCACAATAAAAGCCAACACAATTGTGTCCTGATGGTGCAGATGGCCAGCGTGTGCTGGTGGTTCTACTTCTCCAAAGTGATAGAGCTCAGTGACACAGTGAGTATAAAATTAGTAAAAGGAGGCATTTGGATTTTTAAGACTTTGTTATTTCAAACCCCAAAATAATCACAGAACCTCTTGAATAAAGTAATAATGAAGGTATTTTATCGCGCTCTATGGAAGCTCTCACAGTAGGCCGGCCTTTGTGTGTGTGTTGTGTGTGTTCAGATATTTTTCATCCTGAGGAAGAAGAACAGTCAGCTGACCTTCCTCCACATCTACCATCACGCCACCATGATCTTCAACTGGTGGGCTGGGGTGAAATTTGTGGCTGGTGGCCAGTGTGAGTGAATGTAAACCCACCCAGACGTATGATGTCATTTAGAAACATACGCTCGGTGGCTTAAATTGTAATGGTCATGCTTGGCAAATGTCCACAGCTTTCCTGATCGGCCTGATCAACTCCCTGGTCCATGTGGTGATGTACCTGTACTACGGCCTGGCAGCTTTGGGCCCGAGCGTGTCCAAATACCTGTGGTGGAAGCGCTACCTCACCTCCCTGCAGCTGGTCAGTATCTGTCTTTTCTTTTCTTTTAAAACGTTTTCACTTCTCACAATACCACTGTTGTCTTCAAAAGTGAGACACTTTAACATCTTAACATGGCACAAGGTATTTCAGATCCCCTCTTTGGGTAATTTCTATGTTAGTGTTTTACTATACTTATAGTATACATACTTCGTCTGATCATTTTGGGTGCTTGTCGAACAAAGATGAGGTGGAGTAAAACCGGTAATAAGAAAGCAATTAGGGACCTTCAAATTGAAAGTATTACTTTTAGCGTCCTGTTTGTGAAATAAAGCCTTTGTCAGTGCTGTGGTACATTTATAATGAAAAGAAGACATGATGGAGATGAGTTTGCCTTTTGGGGCAAAATATGTCACAATTTCAAACGTATGTGAGGTTTTCTTTGAATACATGCATTTCTCCAAGGTGCCAATTAGAGTGACTCACAAGGGCGCTATCCGCGTTTGGAGGGTTCGCTGTCCCTATGGTCCCCTTCTCCCTGTCCCAGCGGTCCCAGCACAGCCGCCTTGCTGCTGGCTGTAATTACGACCTGAGTGTTCGGGTCCTAAAACGTGTCCACTGTCAGGTAGTTCCAGAGCTCGAGGTTCTCAACTCGGACAAGAATAACACAAGGCCTCCTACTTGTTTTTTTCCTTTTGATTGGCCGTTGGCGTGAAAAAGGATTAACTAACTACTGCACCATCTGTTGTATAGCATTGATGAAGAGACAATGCATCCTGTAGTTATTTCTTCCCTTCTATATGGCTGCAGCATATATAGGTCAGTATGGTGGCTGATTATGTAACACTAATTGTACTGACCTCGGATGTGACCCCCAAGCCTTCATTAACAGTTGGTTTTTAGGGGGGAGAATTAATGCCCAAGCGCACCAAATCATATTTATCCTTTAAAAAGTTACGTCTTATTGTGCTAAATCCACACTGAGACTCTTCAGGAACCCTTATAACTTGCAAGATGAGGGCCAAATACTATCTGGCACTGAAGCATTAGCAAGAAAATAGTCTGAACAGCATTCACTGCCAGTTCTTCCCATTAGCTCTGGGAACTTGTTAATGCACGTTGAAGCGTTACTATAGCGTTATTTAAAATAATTAATGTTTTTGAAAAGTCTGTGGCTCTGAATACAACAATGTTTCTCAAACTGTGGGGTGCGACTTTCTAGTTGGTTGTATGTTGAAATTCTAAATTATTCCATTTCAAGAACTTCGTTGAGAACTTTCCAAGGTGATAATGGACTGCTGTTGTCTTGAGAGTGGCCGGAAGTCTCATTCTTATGCAGGTTCTCATTGCAACCACTAACCACTGACATGTCAAATATTTGTATTTAATACTATACTACCAGTATACAAATACTGTACTTATTATGTTTTGCACAGATAAAACTTTGCACTGATCTAACAAGATGGTTGCCTATTTTATTTGTTTTTATTTTGTTTTTTATCTGCAGGAGCAATCTGGTTTGAAAGTGACAACATTTTTTGATTCCATTATTGGAAAAAGCGTTCATGGACGAGTCACCAAATGAATATTTGTCATAATTTGGTTGCCCAGCACTAATTATTATACATATCATATCTAATATAATCATATGAGAAGTGTATTTGACAATGTTTTAAATTGCCAGTTGTTGTCAATCGCTCTGTATTTCCTCAAAAACTGTGGTCACTCACAGTGGAGCTGGTACTGTCTCACGCTCTCTCTTACGTGTCCGTCTGTCCCCTCAGCTCCAGTTTTTTATCGTTACCTTCCACACCACCTACAACCTGTTTGTCGACTGTGACTTCCCTGACTCCATGAACATGGCTGTGCTTGCCTACTCTCTCAGTCTCATCGCTCTCTTCAGTAACTTCTACTACCACACTTACCTCGCCGAGAAGAAGACCAAGACGGCATAGGGTGTGAGAAAGAGGGGACTGTATGACAGAGAAGAGGTCAAATAAATTGAAAACAGAGTGTACAGAAAAAGAAAGAGGAGCGCTGAAATAGCTTGTTTGATATAGAAAGCATTCATTCAATGTCTTTTTGCATAGATCAAATAGCCACAATATAAAACCTCTATTTCTTGTGTCATTGTATCCTTTTGTGTCAATTCTTGTGTATATATTTTCATTAATAATGATAATAATAATTTTATTAATAATATATGTGCCTTAAACACACACACACACACACACACACACACACACACACACACACACACACACACACACACACACACACACACACACACACACACACACACACACACACACACACACCGTTTATTACTTATGTGTGTCTTCGGCAGTCATCTATTCCTTCTGTTCATTTGTCAAGTACCGAGATCACAAAACCCACTCAGCAGACATTAACAGCCCGTTTCATCCCTCCCCCAGCTGCTAATGGACCCGACGTTAAGTCGCTTCGTTCTTCTCTTTCACCCATTGGATGGCAGTCACAGCCAATCAACTGTTGGCCGCCATTAACTCTGTATCCATCTATCCCACCCCCCCCCTCTTTTCTTTTTTTTTAGATCAGGGGCCCCCTCCCCAGCTTCTAGCATTTAATCCCTCTTACCAGCCCACAACCCCCTGGTTCCATCTGTCATGCTGTAGGATAATTGCCAGGCAGTGATCTCATCCGCTCCCCCTTGTGGGCTGAGATGAGTTCTGCTTCCTTTACACTGTATGCCCCTCCTCCTCCATCACTTATTTCCAATCTGTTCACTAGCTACATATCTGTGCTCTACTTCATACTGAACGTCATTAAAACACACTGTGGAATGACAAAATCAAACCACTCAGAAGTCATCTTGGATACCAATCAGCTCAATGAGGCAACTTGACACATTTTAGGGGGATCAGTCATTTTCATGTGGGTTTTCAAAATGGTCTTAGAACCACAGCGAAGGCCAGACTAGTGCTCTAAAAAGCATAGCAAAATGAAAACCACTGTAACTAAGTGGAAGGTGGAGTTGCATGTCAGTCAGAGCAATTGTGCTTTCAAAACCGGCCGCAGAAATCACAGACTCTTCAACTCCTGGAAATGCTACATGCTATTTTTCACATTGGACATTTTGAAATCTTACTACAGAAGAAGCCCAGGAGTAGCTAACAATACAAACATTGACAGCGTGTCATTAATTCAGTCCGACTCCAGTGTTCTTACGGCTCAGTAGGAATTCACTAGGGCTAAAAAACACTTTTCCTGTAGACAATTCAGAAACATACGAAAGGAGAAAAATTCCTTTGGTATTTTGTATCGAGACTGCAGTTTGCATCAAAGTAACACAAGCATGCACAGTTCGGCATGATGATCACAGAACTAATGGACCAAATATTATGGTCTCTGCATTTCCCCTCCTTACTGTAATCCGACAAGCTTAAGTCTGGAGAACACCAACTTGTTGAACATGCAGGTTCTGCAGCAAGTTCAGAAGCCATCTCCTGTGATATTGTAACAGCAGATCTCGTAGTTCAATTCAATTCCTTTTTCAATTCATTTTATTTCGTATGGCCCAAAATCACAAATTACAAATTTGCCTCAGAGGGCTTTACAGTCGGTACACATGCAACATCTTCTGCCCCCAAACCCTCAGGAGGGACAAAGTGGATTGTTATTAATAAAAGGTATGTGATGTTGTAATCCCCGGGAAAAAATGTTAAAAAGCCATGGGTTAAAAATGCAATGTAAGTCGCTTTGGATAAAAGCCCTAAATGTCCTGTAATGTAATGTAACGATAAACCCCCCAATGGAGTCTGGACCTGGTGGGAGTGTTGGCTGATTAGCTGATGAAGCTGATGAAGATGGGGAGGGAGGTGGAGGGATGCGAACCAGCAGCATTACCGGCCTGAAGGTAAAGAGGCAATCATATTTAAAAGACACCATAGGTTAATTTGTGTTTATTGGATAGAAGACAAAAAACACTGACATGTCACAAACAATGAGTGACAATGAGGAGTAAGTTAATGTGAGAGCCTCATCTGTTCAATGTTGAGAAACTTTTGAGGCTGTTTCAGAGATGCACAAGGAGCTTTTAGGTGGCAAAAATCTGAGGGGCTGTGAAGGTCCGTGAGAAGCTAAAACACAGCACGGTTGTTTATGATACCGTGGTAGCAATAGTGGTATCCTGTGTGTTCATTGCTGTGGTTGATACTACAGATCACGAGTGGCGCTATGGAGCAATACCTGCATGACCGGGGACTCCGTTTGGTTTGCTTCCCACACATGGGATTTCTTCAAACTGCATGGCTTATGATCGGCTCCCAGTGTGTCGTTAAACGCTGTATGAGAGCAGCGTTTCAGTGCTCCGATTGAGCACAGCGCCTTTAAACAAGGAAAGCAGTTCAACACGTTCCGTAGGCCTCAAGGCCGTGAAACAAGAAAATCCCACTGGGTAAACTTTAAAACATGTTTGAATTCATCAAGACAGATTTAGTTTAGTCTTCTTTATCTGCATATGAGAAGCTCCTCTGAAAGAGCCCTGCAGAGTCACTGCATGTGTGTCACTGAGTGCAATCCATCAGCGTACGGCAGTACTAAAATAACACCCTTGTGTAGCATTGTGAGCCACATTTTGCCGCTAGCAAGTACTTAATCCTCTCTCCATTTCAACACAAGTGTGTAGAAACACACACACAGACAGGCAGCTGATTGCCAGGAGCCCATTTAAAGTGTTGTCCCTCGGCCTCACTGCGGGCACAGCTCCAGGTTGATTACTGCCGAGTGCTGCACACCTCAGGCGTGACTGACTCTCTGACACGCCGTCACTTTGATAAATTTATGATTCTTAAGGTTTGAGTGAGTTACGGTGCCTTTGGAATGATGCCATGCTAGTTACAGGTGTCTCGTAAATATTAACGCTTTTCACTTACATGTGACAGGAATAATGTCTGATTGGCATGCGTGGCAATAAAAAATAGTTTGACCAAAACAATTGACGAAGGGACAAATATTCATTATTAAAGAGTCAGCCATGAATGGGCGTGAAAGTGTTTAATGAATTCTTGTTTGTGAATGACTTTGTCCGTCTCCTTGGTAACAGTGCTAGACGGTGTTTGGGCTGCGGTCAGCTGAGGCACACTGTAATTAATAATCAGGTTAGGGCGGGAGAGGATATTGAAGCGTTCTCGGAGCCGCTGCGGCTGAACTTCATGGCTAGTGAGAGGGACGGGGATACACACTCGCACACGCTGACACACACAGGCATAATTGTTGATGGTGAGAGAGCTTTGGGAATAAGAGGCTGCTGAGTGTGCTTGAAGGTGAGCCACTGGGTTGTTTCGTACAATGAGGGTTAACAAGAGGCTGCGGCAATCTCGCCGTGATGGGAGCGCACTCAACCAGCAGGCAGGCTAGTGTTAATCAACCAACCAACCAGCAAGTAGCTCCTTGTCAAGTGCGTACATGTCAAGCGTGAAACTCCAAGCAGGGGCCAACACAGACTCTCCGTTTTTTAGTACCTCCAGTATAAATCGCATTTGTTCGCAAACTTCTATCTATCTATCTGTCACCCAGTCATCCCATTGTGTTAGTGCATATGTGCGCATCCATGCGTTTCTTTTGTTTTCAACAAGAGGAGGCCCATCTGTTGGAGACATTGTCCCCATTTATTGACAATGGGATGAACCCAGTGCCACCTGTATCCGTGTTATCAAAGTTATATGGGGGATGTGCCATTTGTCTTGACAGGCGTGATTTATGGCTCTTATTGTTTGCTGAGGGTCAGACAGTCTAAGACAGAGATAGAAAGAGATGTGCTCCAGCGAGGCTCAGGCCCGCAGGGTATTACCTAATTTCATTCATATTTGCATGAACCCAATTCTGCGACTGTGCCCCCTTAGCCCAAATTGATTCCTGAAAAGCTTGTTAATATTAGTCAAGGGGTGGCCACGGCAATCGGTATGTTGGTCAAAAAATAAAAAATAAATGTTTCAGCGAGGCATTAAATGATTTGTGATGCACAGTTATCTGCTACCAAGGGCCAAAAAGAGGATATTCAGGGAAGGGTTGATCAGTCTTCGGATTCACACGAGCATCCCAAATCTCTCAGTGGTACTTGAGGTTGCTGATTTAGATGGATTACTCAACGAGCCAAAGGGCACAGGCCCAGAGCCCCAAAATGTCAGTGCTTCCTGTGGCCTTAACCTACAAAATCTGACAAAAAGAGTCATCCAGAAAGGGACTTCAAATAATCACAAATATAAAAAGTAATGGATTAGAAAGGAATGCAAATTGTCACCTAATCCGGCCACAACTGCTGATTTATGGTAAGAATCAGACTTTATTGTTCATGACTTAGTCTTTTTGCACAGATTGCATTAGCCACAGTATAAAACCTGTAGGACATTTCTTGTGTCATTACATCCATTTGGGGCGACTGTTGGAGTCGAGAGGGGGCCCCGGGAACCGCAGGGGCGGCTGTGTCCCTGGGCAAGACACCTAACTATTTCTGCAAAGTAATATGGTTTTACTTTGAATGAAACCCCTTGCACAAAAACAATATATAGCCAACAAGATGCAGACAACAACACAGTACCATACACTTTATGATAAGTATGAAAACTGACAGAGAGACGCGTTTTTCACAGACCTTCATGTTGTCAGTGTTCAGACTAGTTCACATTTACAAAGTCCAAAACACAGGCATAGCCGAGATCAGGCTGGAGGAGACATCAGACCCGTCAAGGACACACAAAGAGGAATGGCAATACGGAGCCAGTTGTGATACACTTCCAGCTCAGACTTTCATTCAGACAAAGGGAGAGGTAAAAGAAAACAAGACTGTGCAGGTGGTGTCTCTCTTCTAATCTCAATGCAGTGAGGCATTTCACAGTTTGATTCTTGATTGAAAGAAATACCCAGTTTCATCGAGATTCATTGAACTTTATTTATCTGTGCAGGGTTAAATGTAAAGTCCTTGTGTTTCAGCGCATCGAAGGTATGGTAGGTAAGGTAGGTTTTGTTTTGCTCTTATGAAACCTTGAGTTTGGCATTCTGGCATTCACCACCGTGGACTTTTGGAGCAAGATGTAACCTCGTGGAGGGACGGGGGAGGCTACTTTTGTAGCAAAGCAAAAAAACAGCTTTCGCCATT